CAAACTCATGACTAGCAACAATTGAGACTATAAAAAAAATTAAGCAAACAACTAGAACAGGAACAGAATCATAGAAATGGATATCAGAGGTGGGGGGAGGAGGGAGAAGGAAGAATGGGGGAAAAGGTACAGGGAATAAGAAGCATAAATAGCAGGTACAAAATAGACAGGGGGAAGTTAAGAATAGTATAGGAACTGGAGAAGCCAAAGAACTTATATGTACGACCCATGGACATGAACTAAAGGAGTGAGGTGCTGGAGGAAGGGAGGTACAGGGGGGAGAGGAATAAAGGGGAGAAAAAAATAGAACAACTGTAATAGCATAATCAGTAAAATATATATTTTTTAAAAAACAGTGAGATCAAGGAAGAAATCAAAAGGTACCTTGAAACAAATGAAAATGAGGACACAACAATCCAAAATCTGTGGGACACAGAGAAAGCAATCCTAAGAGGGAAATTCATAACATTACAGGCCTATCTCAAATAAACAATCTTACTTTACACTTAGAGGAACTTGAAAAAGAACAACAAACAAAGCCCAAAGTGAATAGAAGGAATGAAAAAATAAAGATCAGAGCAGAAAAAAAATGAAAGGGGATCTAAAAAAATGATACAAAAGATCAATGAATCCAAGAGCTGGATCTTTGCAAATATAAACAAGATTGACAAACCTTTAACCAGACTCATCAAGGAAAAAAAAGAGAGAGGACCCAAATAAATAAAATCAGAAATGAAAGTGGAAAAATAACAACTGACACCAAGGAAATACAAAGGATTGTAAGAAAATATTATGAACTATATGCCTACAAACTGGACAACCTGGATGAACAGATAAATTCTTAGAAACATACAATCTTCCAAAACAAAATCAGGAAGAATCAGATAATCTGAATAAAAATATTACACCTAGTGAAATTGAAGCAGTAATCAAAAAACTCCCAAAAAACAAAAGCCCTACATTGATGGCTTCACAGGTGAATTTGACCATACATTCCGAGAAGAACTAACACCTTTGCTTCTCAAACTATTTCATAAAATTCAAGAGTAGGGAAGTAAACTCAGTATTAACCTAATTCCAAAACCAGGTAAAGAAACTACAAGGAAATAAAATTATTGGCCAATATCTCTGATGAACATAGATGCTAAAATCCTCAACAAAATATTAGCAAACCAAATACAGCAATATATCAGAAAGATCATACACCATGATCAAGTGAGATTTATTCCAGGAATGCACGGTTGATACAACATTCACAAATCAATAAATATGATTCACCACAGAAACAAAATGAAGGATAAAAATGACATGATCTTATCAATAGATTCAGAAAAATGCATTTGATAAAATCCAGCACCTATTTATGATAAAAACTCCCAGCAGAGTGGGAATAGAGGGAACATACCTAAACACAATAAAGGTCATATATGACAAACCCACTGCTAGCATCATACTCAGTGGGCAAAAACTGCAATAATTCCCCTTAAGACTGGGAACAAGACAGAGATGTCTGTTTACACCTTTCTTATTCAATGCAGTCCTAGAAACCCTAGCCACAGCAATTAGACAAGAAGAAATAAAAGGCATCCAGATTGGAAGGGAAGTAGTAAAACTGTCTTTAGTCACAGATCACATGATTCTATACACAGAAAACCCCAAAGATTCCACCAAGAAACTACTAGAACTTATAAATGAATTCAGCAAAGTAGCAGGATACAAAATTAATATCCCAAAATCAGTTGCATTTTTATATGCCAATAATAAACTAACAGAAAGGGAAATCAAGAAAACAATTTCATTCACAATTACTTCAAAAAGATTAAAATAGCTAGGAATAAACCTAACCAAGGATGTCAAAGACCTTACCCAGAAAATTGTAATACCCTGAAGAAAGAAATTGAAGAAGATTCAAGTATGTGGAAGCATATACCGTGTTCATGGATTGAAGACTTATCATCATTGAAATGTCCATGCTACTCAAAGCAATCTATAGATTCAGAACAATTCCTATCAAAATTCCCATGACAGCCCAGCTGGTATGGCTCAGTGTATTGAGAGCCAGCCTGTGAATCAAAGGGTTGCCAGTTCAATGCCAGTGTAGGGCACATGCCTGAGTTGCAGACCAGGTCCCCAGCAATGGGCGCATGAGATGCAACCACCCATTGATGTTTCTCTCCCTCCCTTCCTCTCTCTAAAAATAAATAAATAAATAAAATCTTTTCAGAAAAAGATTCCAATGATATATTTCACAGAACTAGAACAAATATTTCAAAAATTTATATGGAACCACAAAAGGTCCTGCATAGCAACTGCAATCCTGAGATATAGGAACATAGTTGGGGGAATCATGCTACCTAATATCAAACTGTACTATTAGACGATAGTAATCAAAACAGCATGGTACTGGCATAAAAACAGACACATAGATCAATGAAACAGAACAGAGAGCCCAGAAATAAACCCACAACTTTACAGTCAATTAATATTCAACACAGGAAGCAAGAACATACAATGATCTAAAGATAGTTTATTCAATAAATAGTGTTGGGAAAATTCGACAGATAACGTGCAGAAAACCACCCTCTTATGCCACACACAAGAACGAATTCAAAATGGGTGAAAGACTTAAATGTTAGCCCCAAAACCATAAAAATCTTCTAGAAAAAAATCATAGGCAGCAAAATCTCAGACATTGCTCGTAGCAATTTTTTATTGGATATATCGCCCCAGGCAAGGGAAAGAAAGAAAAAATAAACAAATGGGACTACATCAAACTAAAAAGTTTTTGCACAAAATCATTAACAAAATAAAAAGACAACCCACAGGATGGGAAAACCTATTCTCTGATACATCTGATAAGAAGTTAATATCCAAAATTTGCAAAGTACTTACAAAACTCAACACCAAAAAAAAAAAAAAACAATTAAAAAATGGGCAAAGGACCTGAAGAAACACTTGTCCAAAGAGGATATACAGATGGCCAATAGACATATGGAAAGATGCTCACTGTCACTAATCAGAGAAGTGCAAGATAAAACCACAATGAGATACCACCTCACACCTGTCAGAATGGCTGTCATCAGTAAATCAACAAACAGGTGCTGGTGAGGATGTGGAGAAAGAGGAACTCTTTTACACTGTTGGTGGGAATGCAGACTGGTGCAGCCACTGTGGAAAGTAGTATGTAGATACCTCAAAAAATTAAAAATGGATCTGCCTTTTGACCCACTTCTGGAAATATATCTGAAGGAACCCAAAACAGTAATTTGAAAGAACATAAGGACCCCTATGTTCATTGCAGTGTTATTTACAATCACCAAGATAATGGAAGCAGCCCAAGTGCCCAAAAATAGATGAGTGGATAAAACAACTATGGGACATTTACACAGTGGAATACTACTTAGCCATAAAAAAAGAAGTTTTACCCTTTGCGACAATATGGATGGACCTGAAGAACATTATGCTAAGTGAAATAAGCCAGTCAAAGACAAATACCCTATGATTTCACTCATTTGTGGAAACTAATGAACAAACTGAACTAACTAGGAAAATGGGGACTGACTCACAGATGGAGAGTGGGGTGACAGCTAGGGCACAAGGAGGAGAGGGGGTGGAAGGACTGAGCAAAAAGGAGAAAAGGACTCATGGACATGGACAATAGTGTGGAGATTGCTGGGGGGAGGGGTGTATAAGGGGACTAAATGGTAATGGAAAAAACTACAACAAAGATTGAATTTATTTAAAAAACCAGAAAAGAATATCTTAACAAAACCCTGCAGGGCTTAAGGTTTGCATTTGTTTTTTAACAGCATGTGAGTACTGGTATAAAATGCTAACTCATATATTTACCCTACATGGGAATGGCTTTCTGAACCATGGAATCCTGTATTTAGGACCTGGAAAAAAACATAAGGATCATCTAGTTCTGAAGTTTCTAATTTAAGAAATGTAGTTCAACAAAACGTTGATAGCGATTTCTTAAAAACAAAACAACACACATTCCTACAGTCAAATATGTTTGGAAAAATGGTGTGGCAAATAAAATTAAGCAGATTTCTTTCCCACAGCACTTCCCACAATTGCTGGAATGATCTTGGTCAACCCTCTCACATTACAGATCAAGACACTGAGGTTCATGCTTGTCCTAGGTGACCCATAGAGAGTCCTCTCCAATTTGAATGGTCTTGTCATTTTGCTTCTTAGCTTATGTTAGTTTAGCTTCTTAGCTTCTGCTACCTTTGCTTCTTAGAAAATTTAAAAATGGAAGCAATTAAAATCTAAGAGGAATTAACTACCACAACAACCAGGGCTTGATAGTAATCATTGTAATAAGAGCTATCATGAAACCACTTTGATTATATTCCCTAATTTAATCCTTACTCCAACCCTATTATACTTTGTTATTTGTCCTAAAAACTATTCCTGAGCAAACCACGCCCCCAAACCACCAGTGCTAAATTAATCTTCTCTTGCTCTTAGGAAAGTTGAAGCAATTGCCAACAATTGCAACAAGTGATCCTATGTTTCTTCTCATTTTTTTTTTCAGTCAGATACCACACCTGAACTAGCTTCAACATCTTGTTTTATTTCTAGGTGCTTCTTAATTTCTTCAGCATATATAACACCCCTCATTAATCCTGACTTAATTTATAGCAGTTCTAAAACTTTGCACTACAGCTACCCTGGCAAGATTAAAATCTGTTTATCATTCTGAGGCCTTTATATTAACTCATTGTGCGACTTGATTTTGCTTAAATTCTCTAGAAACATTTTGTTGAAGAGCCCTGGCTGGTGTGGCTCAGTGGGTTGAGCACTAGCCTACAAACTGATAGAAACATTTTGTTGAATCTCAATAATCTAATATTGGAGATATTAATGCAAAATATCTTCCCTAATAAGACATCTTAGTTTATTGTGTAAAGACAATAAGATAATAAGATGCATTTCCACCAACTGTTTATGTTTCATAAGTGAAGCAATGCATCTGAAGCTGTCCTTACCTGGTGGCCACCATATCTGTGAGCCAGTGGAATGGATCCAAATACTATCTTTTTACCGCTTACAAGCTGCATAAAATCATCTGTTTCTGAGACAGATAAATCAAGGTCCAAAATATCTTCTAAAACTTCCTGAGGCGGGGAGGCAGGGGAGATGGGCGGTAGGAAAAAAAAACAAACCTCTTAACAAATGTAAACTTAAGTAATCCTTAACAGTTTTTGAGAAAAGAGACTAAGTGTAATAAAGAAAATGAAAAGAATAAACCTATCCCAAAAGTACATTAATAATTTTTCATAAGAGAGATACTATATATTCTATGATTTTTTGTTATTTAGGAAAATTAGTTCTATTACATAGTTCTAAAACTTTTATGTTTGTCTTGCGATGCATAGTTAAAGAATATTTTTCCTATCACATATTCTTTAAAGGGACTAGGAAAAGGAAATGTCTTATTTTTATCCCAAGTCCATTTATGCTATGAGAAAACAATTTAGAATTTGTTATTGGAGTCCATTTTTAAGAACTTAGCTCATTTATCTCTTTTTCGTAAGATAACTTTAAGATGAACCTGAGTATTAGGCTCTAGGAATAAGTATCAAAAAAAGTAATTTCTAAGAATGACATTCTCCAAGTCTGAAATTTAAGCACAAAGATAGTTATTTATCATTAGACTAGCAATTTAACTCTAAATAGAATATTAATATCTTTTTGCCAAAAGTTATAGTCAATTAAGTATTTGTGTTGTGAAAAAAATAAAGCCTAACCTTTGAAACTGCTACAAGATGTGCTCTTGATTTAAAAGGAGTAGGGAAGGCAATGGAAAAAATACAGTTTTTCACTTTACGAACATAATTTTCTTTAACAGGATCAACTGGCAACATAGCTGATAAAAACAAAAAACAAAAACACAACCTTCTGAATGTTCTCATTTGTTGCATTTACAGCATTAATATTCCTTAGAAATGCTATGGTATTTCATGAAAATCAATTCAAAACACTATTCTCTTCATGTTTTGTTACTTAAAGGTTATTTTATCATTTTCAACCATATCTATACAAAATTCATATACTATAGTGTATGGAACTGTCCAAGATGGGAAATGAAAAAAAATTTAAAACAAGACACATACCTGTCTTCAAAGATTTTTCACTCATGGCAGATCAATAGGATGTGTAACATATTTATAAATGAAAAATATACAAATAAAACAGAAATGAGCTGCATTACAGTGTTAAAATTATAATACTGGGCAATTCAATGGAATCCAAACACAAAATATTAGGCAATTAATCACACTCTGTCTTTCAAAAATATCATAACTGAAGGAAAGAGATACATATGTAGGTGTTTTACTAAATGTACAAAACCACTTCCAATTCCACCAGAAACTTCAAAACATTAGCTACAAGCCTCTAAAAATTGCCTCTAAAGAGATAAAGTATTGTTCATAAAGTTCAGACACTAAAGCTCATGCACTTTATTTACAAAGCTGTAGAGAGCACTGGCCAGGCTGCTCAGTTGGTTGGAGTATCATCCCATACACCAAAAGGTAGTGGAATCAATTCTTGGCAGGGCACATAACGAGGTTTTGGATTTGATCCCAGGTCAGGGCAGGTAAGGGAGGCAACTGACTGATGTTTCTCTCTCACGGCAATGTCTCTTTCTCTTTCTCTCTCTCTCTCTCTCTCCCACCTCTTCCACCCCCTACCTCGAAACACATCCTCAGGTGAGAATTTTTTTTAAAGCTGTAGAGGAAAAAAGAGAGCTTTTCACATGCTTCAGATCCATAGAACATGTTTACTTTTAAGTACAATTCTTAAAGTCTTAATTAAGATTAATTGCTTTTCCTAATCCAAAGTAATTAAAAATAGAAAAGATAAATGTATTACTAAAACTACCAGACAAAGGGACACAAAAGCTGATGTCACTGAATAGAGGTTATGTTGTCAAGATGACAGTGTCATCAAATTATTTCATAAACATAATGGAAATCCAATCAAAAACCTAGCAGAATTTTTTTTTTTTTTTGGAAGAAACATATAAACTTAGAGTGGAAATCTGGAAAAAAAATAATAATTTTTTTTCAAAGAGGAGTTTCCTTATCCCATTGAAAATTACAAGAATACAACAGCTAAAAATATTGTTACTCTAAAAATAAACACAAAAATCAATGGGACTCAATAAAAAGTACAGAAACCGCCCAAAGTAATGTGAGAATCCCCTACATAATAAAAATTATTTTTTGAGTAAGTAGAGAAAGGAGACATCAGGAAAATTTGTTCAACTACTTTGTATAACTCATTCCACCCAAGCCAAAGTGAACTAAATATCAGTTATAACTGAAATATGAGTAATCTTGTATCTTCCCCATATTAGTATAAAAACAGGCCAATGTAGGCCACATTTAACCCTTTATAGTTCCCCTAAGTACATGGTGAATAAGGCAGCATCATGGGAAAAGTGGTCAACTAAAACCAGATGATTTTAGTATCCACCACAGAAAACTCGGCAATATGATTAGAAGACCCAACAGTATATTTGCTTCCCTTTCAGGAGAGCCTGTGTGTGAAAACACAGGGTTATATAATTAACACATTTTTCTTTAATGGTGCTCTAACATTTTAGTAGAGCACGGGCTGTGTACATAATTTCCATTGGTACTTAGGATTTTGTACTAATCACATTTTGGTAAGGTAAGCTGATCATTGGCTACCTTATGATCACTAGCCATGGAACAAAAAAAGGCAAACTGCTTCAGAGGACCAAACCCTCACCCTTGTTAGGATTTAACCAACTAATCAGTCATAAAGCAAAATTTCCAAACATATGTTAACCCTTTATTTTACCCTCTCAGAGAAACTTGTTATTCCAAAATTCTTTAGAATTCAGTTTTGCCTAAGAATATGGAACCCCCCCAAAACAGCTAACCTTTCAGTGCAATTATGTTTAAACCTTATCTCAATAATTGTTCTTCCCAGTTACCTTGATAATTCATTGATCATCTCTTATAACCTCAGGATGAGATGAGTACTTTATGCAGTACTGTGAACCAAAACATGGTTAATAAATATGTAGTATTATGTATATAATCTGTAAAACCTGGTCCTACCATAATGTTTTGAACAATATCATCATTAAGGAAAAAAAAGTCTTAATATGCAGCCAAGTCCCTGACATAGAAATAACAACTTTGAAAACATTTTCAATTACACTTATTCCATTTTTATCCGTCAATACTGGTTGTTTCATTTGTGTAAGTGCAGTTAAAAGGGTCGTTTTGAACCTGCGCAAAGGGAAATTGTTTGGCAGTTACTTACACAGCTCAGATTATGTTTTTTTAACTTTCTAAACTCATGCTTGGTCTAACTGGATCAAGAACTACTAGTTGGTATTCTGCATGTACTATTGGTGGAATATTGTTCATCAGGAGCTTCGCTATACTATAATGTTAGAAGCCTTCATGAATTTCATCTGCCCTCCCTACTTAGCCTTGCCATATTACATCTTTTTAAGAACCAGGTATTTTGTTTTAATTTGGGGAAACAATTTCTAAATAAAAATCACCTGATAGAATTCTGCTGTGTTATATCTGTCAACTATGTGAGCTTGGACAAGACACTTAATTCCTCTGCTTCCTGATCTGTAAAAAGGCGCAAATGACAGTATCCAAGTAATAAAATTGCAAGTAATTGCAAGTACAAGTGTTTATTGCTACACTGTACTTTGGCAAATTCTACCTGTTGGGTATTTTTTAATATATAAAGTTTTATTAAGCCAGAGGTATGTATTAACAACATTCATTTGTAAAGCACTTGGACCTTTTTTTTTTTTTTTTTTTTACATATTCTTCAAGATTAGTGGGAGGGTTTTCACAAAATCAGATTAAGAAATTTACACTTTTATTCAGTAAAAAACAATACTTTCAAGGTAAATATGATGTGCTCAGCTATATGGATACTTACACTCTGACGCAAAAAAGCTTCGCTTACAAGAACAAACAAAAAAACGCAGAGAATTGCAGTTGCCTCTTTGCTGGTCTATTTTCTCATAGTGAATTTTTTGAGGACAGAGTAAGTTTCTTCCCTAAAGCTTATACTTTCTCTCATTGGCTGTGTATTTTATGCATGTGTGGAATGATTAATTCTATTATGGATTTATGATAAATACGCCCTCTCATGACTTTGGGAAGAGATCTGGCTTTGGAATTAAAGAAAGGTTTTTTTAAACTCACATCAGGTACTACTCCTGTGCATTCTCCAGTATCCCCTTGGCTGGCTACAAGTAGATTCAACATTACTAAATATTAAACAATCTCCCACAGCTCAGTACACCCATGTGTGGGGACTCACACATCCAGATGTGCACAAGGAGGACCAACTATGCCACCATATACCTATAAGGTTCTCAGAGGAGAGGGTCCAAAAGTCGAGAGACGAGGCTAATTTAGTTTCTGCTTCACAATAGCCCGGCTCCTGGTTTGACTTGTTACTGAAAAGATGCAAAAGGTTGGCACTTCCTTCAAGGCCAGGTTGTAATAAAGAGCAGATGACAGCGTGGTAGGTCACACACAAGAGAAGCAGCCGCGGAATGTGTAGCCTCCGGATTAAGCAACAAAACGGGAACCCAATTTTTTGAGTCATATTTCTGCCTAAATATGTATGACGGAAGTCAGTGACTGGAAGTCTGGCGCACTGTGGCACTTCTTGCTAACAGCTGGTCACTCGAAAATACATTTTGCTCTGTTGGAGTTACTGGCTCCCCGCGAACCTCAGGGAGGGTTCGGGAGAGACTCGCCAGGTGGAAGGTCAGGGTTAGTTTCTCCCGGGCCCGGCGATCGCCAGGGGGTCGAAGAGGTCCAGCCGCCACTGCCACGCACCTCTTCCTCTGCGGCCTGCGCCGACTGCCCGGAGGTCCCCGCTCACTGGCGCGCAGACAGGTGCCCGAGGTACCGCGCGGCCGCCGCTGGAGAGCGCTAGCGGCGCAGCCCAGGGGAGAAGCGAGAGGAGGCGGCCCGGGCGGGGCCGAAGCTCTTCCTGTGCCAGGTTTCCGGCTCCGGGTCCCGGGGAGGGCCATCGGTCCCTGGGCGGGGCTGCGGCCCGCCGCGACTTTCAGACTCGTACCATGGCCTCAGGCTGGTGGCGGTGGCGGCGCGGCTGCTCCTGGAGACCGGCGACGCGGAGCCCCGGGCCCGGCTCCCCTGGTCACGCGGGGCCGTGCGGGCCGCGCCCCGCCGCCGCCCGCGCGCAGGTGAGGCCGGGAAGCGCGCGTCGCTGCGGGCGCAGAGGTCACCACGCAATGACAGCCGCGCGGAGGAATGAATGGGCGCGAGCGGCACGTGTGCCGGGCTGGGGGTCGCGGGGCGGTGCTGGGATGGGTCCCCGGCCTGGCTGGTACTGGGATGGGGTCCAGCCGCCCGGTCGGACGCGGGGCGGTGGTCGCCCAGGGTCAGTCTGCCTAAAGTAGGGGCACCCCGCCCGGAATTGCAGAACCATGTTCTAGGGGCCGGAGAGAATTTGGGGATTGGGAAGGGAGGGGTGAGGAACCAGGTCCCGGGGGAAACGCAGGACGAGTAGTCAGACTGTCTTTTCGTGTACGGACAAAGTCCAGACTGGGGGCCGTCTGTCGCTATTTCCTTTAGAGTTACACAGTCCCGGCTTTGGGAGGACAGATTTTAGAGGAAAAGGTGCTCTGAGCCCTCAAGGGATACGGAGGATCCAGGTGGCCTCGGTAGGAGGAAAAGGTCTTCTGGAGGATATAGAGCTGATGCTAAGGGTGGACGGGATTTCAGCCGTACTGTATGTAGTTGCTTCGGAGGAAGAACACGGGATGCAAGGGCACTTGAAGGAGAAAAGCCCTGTGGATGTCAGCCTTGGGGTTATCTTCCATTTGACCTATGACTTCTTGAAGTAGAGTCAGCATCTCAGCAGTAGCTGTGGTTCTTTGACTCAGTCTCATTGTTCTCCCTTTTCTGTCAGTTTAGGCCTTGTAAATTGACATGTTTCTGTGTCTCTTCTGAGTCCTTTCTGCACTTTGTAGTGATTCTCAACCTGCCTTAGGAGTCACTGTCCTTTTCACAAACTGTCTAGTCACATAGAAATTGTATGTATTCAACTCTCATTCTCAAGGCTTACTTTTTTTTTTTAAGTTTATTTGAACTTAGGACTCCTGTATTTCAGTCAGATTTGGTACACCGCAAATTCCCATGTACCCATCAAACACCATCTACCAATATGAAATAGGTAGTATATATAAATATCTATTTTGTACCAAAGTGGATACATACTACAACTTATCCAAAATGGACATCTGTTGAGACGGTGGCAGCTGGGCTAGTAGATAGACTCGACAAAAAAGGGAGAATATGGGAAAAGGGCCTCAGGACTTTGCTGAGATCCATTTTAATAGTATCCTAGCCAGACTCCAAATGTTTCTAGCACCACAGATGCGGATGTATTTGAGGAGCGGATGTACCCACCATCTGATGCCACTGGATACTTCTTCCCTTGGACACTCCTTTTTTTGATTCCATGCCCTCCGAGCAACTTTCTCAGCAACGGGAAGGCTGCTTTGGAGAGGATGTGCCTTAGGGACCACAGGACGGACGGCCCTGAGGCTGCCAGTGCCATGTGTTTCTGATTTGTGTGTCCATGGTGTTCTTCACTGTAAGTTAATACACTGGCCCCCTGCTATCTGCTTCAGGCTTGTGTTTTGGTTAGTTCAAGTCTCTTAGGGCCTGATAGTCCTTGGGGACAAAAGGCAACAATAATAAAGCCACCTTCAGCTTCTAACACTGCTCTCCTACTTCCTGATGTATGTGCATTCTCCCGACTTCTCCATTGGTAGTGTTAACAAGCCTTGGAATCAGAGAAAACCAGTGTGGCATGAGATCGAGCCAAATCACTTGCCAATGTGTCTTTGATTCTTACTCAGCCTTGTCTCTTTTCTAACAAAGTAAATTCATAGGAGGCAAGGTTGGCTTTCAGGGAGAGCGTGTGATGGAATCATAGGGAACAAAATCAGAATTGGACAATTGACTTGCTAGTGTTAATGTTAGCACACTGAGTGGCACAGCTCCAGTTTCACAACTGCCTTTTAAGACTACAGAAGTCCCCCCTTCCCCAGTTTTGCTTTCCAGTTTCAGTTACCTGTGCTCAGCCTTGGTCCAAAAATATTAAATAGAAAATTCCAAAAATAAACAGTTAATAAATTTTAAATTGTGCACTGGTCTGAATAGTACGACGAAATCTCACACAGTCCTGCTTAGTCTCACCCAGAATGTGAATCATCCCTTGTGCAACATTTTCCCGCTGTATATACTCCCCGCCCACTAGTCACTGAGCTCACCTCCCAGTTAGACTGTCATGGTGTCACAGTGATTGTGTTCGAGTAACCCTCATTGTACTTAATAGTGACCCCAATGTACAAGAGTAGTGATGCTGGCGATTCAGATATGCCAAAGAGAAACTGTAAAGTGCTTCCTTTACTTAACAAGATATATATGTATAGGAAAAACATAACATATATAGGGTTTGTTATCTGCAGTTTCAGGCATCCAAGATGTGTCCCCCACAGATAAGGAGGGGCTACTGTAAAGTTCTTTTGAATGCCTCTACCACTGCTTTGGAAAACATTGCCCTAATATATTCTTAAAGCAGAAGTGATTGAATGGATACCATATTAAATGTATGCAGTGTATTAAGCTCTGAGTTCAGAGCTTTACATATACGCTTTAAATCTCAGTACCTCTTAAGAGTGGGTATTATCAAAAAGATGTCCCAAGGTAACACAGCCAGGAAATGTTGGGATTTGAACCAAGGCCCATCTTCCGAAGACCATGCTTTTAACCGCTGTCATCCTGCCTAATGGTTAAGAACACGCTGTATTAGCTGTGTAATTTTAACTCTTCACCCCAGGTTAAAAGTAGGTGTCATACTGAAGAAATACTATAATGAAATACTGAATTCATATGAAATGACTACCCATGAAGACTGACAGAAAGTAGGTTAAATGTCATAAAATAGTAAAATTTTAAAAAGTGTATCACTTTGTGTCCTTGGGATATTGTAATGGCCTGGGACACCATAAATGTTACTGGTTTCATGAATATGTAATGCTGTGGTGGAAAGAATAGAACTCAGACCACCCTCCGTGACCCTGCCTGCCTGGCAAAGTCAAACTTCATTGTCATTTTAGGTCTAAAGCAATCGTGTTCACTAGAGAAAAATCAGAAAATATAAGCAAAAAGAATGAAACAAAGAAAACGTAATCCTAATTATTCCAAAATAACTATTTTTAATGCCCTGGTTTTTATGCTTTCAAACGCTGTTGTCTGCACTGTGTGTATGTGCACCTGTATGTAAATTTCTAGTAGGAATCACATGTATCACATGTTTTCCTTTTGATATTTCCCCTCTTAATTTTTAGGCTGGTCAAATAATAAAAATGGCATAAAATATATTAAGAGGAAAAAAACAACCAAATTTAATTACATATATATATATATACATACACATATATACATATATATACGTATATATATACATATATACGTATATATATATACACACACACATATATATGTGTGTGTGTATATATATATACATGGGTTCCATAAGATTATGGGGCCAGAAGACCTAAGGAGAAAGGGTGGGTGGTAATGGGACTTCAAGAAGGATGAATGCAATTCATATGGAGATGAAAACGTGAGTAATTGACAGAAGCCTGCTGGGCCACGTTTAACAGTGAAACACAGAGGACTTTCACTAAACACGTCTTGCTAGGTTCCTGCCTATCTATCACACCTAGTTTATATATTATCCATGTAGTTATCTATGATGATAGCTCACTTCCTGGAGCAGGTCCTTTATCTAAATTCTTTTATGCAGTTGGGGGAAGGTCAAAGGTTCTTCCCAAATCTTTGATTCTTCAAAATAATCCCAAAGAGGCATATTTTGGGCTGGCAAACTCTGCTCCCCTTCAATACGCAGGTGTGTGCCACTTAACGACAGGCATACGTTCTTAGAAATGCACTGTTAGGTGATATTGTTGTGTGAACATCATAGAGTATACGTACACAAACCTAGACAGTGTAGCCTACTACTGTGCTATATTTTTGTATGACTGACAGTTCAGTAGGCTTGTTTATACCAGCATCATCACAAATGTGAGTAATGTGTTCTGTGATATCAGTAGGCAATAGAAATTTTTCAGCTCCATTATAATCTTATGGGACTACCGTCAGATATGAAGCCTATCATTGACCAAAATGTTATGCAGCATATGGCCGTACTGTATTGTAGACATCTGCGTAGATAGTCCCTGAATTATGCTGCCTTAACTTGAGATTTTTCAGTTTTACAGTGGTGCAGAAGTCATAACACATTCAATACCAGCTAGCTAAGCTCTGATGTTTAGTAGGTTAGGTGTATTAAATGCCTTTTCAGATTATGGTATTTTCAACTTGCAATGGGTTTACTGGGACATAACCCCATCATAAGTTGAGGAGCATCTGTATACCAGTTTTTAGACTTGACTTTTCTCAACTTCAACTTCTCTGGTTGTATATAAAGCAAGTAGTTGTGAGGATCAAATAGTGTAAAAACATCATAATATTTTATTACTAATAGAGTGAATTAGTTTTATTTTTTGTGCTAAATTTGCCGTTTTTGTCAAAAGGCTTTTCTCATATGCTCTGTAAGAGGCCTTACCACACTAGATTAGTAATTTTCAAAATGCCTGTGTCCCTGCAGTCTTTGAGATTGGGAGTATTCCTGACATATAATAGTGCTCAATAATTCTTGGAACTAATATTTGTCGTCACCATCTCTGAATCTGCTCTAAGTTCTGTTCTTGCTCTCTGATTAAGTTTGTATCAGAATATGCTGCTGAGCTTGTTTGTTTTTATACCATTACTTATCAAGAAGTAGCATTTCCAAGTAGGTTTAGGAACAATAACTTAAAATAGGCACTGTTTGTATAAATGTAAATTCCCTCTTTAACACTGAAATCTTTTTGCTTTTCACCATCTGGGCTGATGCTTTTGTAATCTTGATTATTCTTTGTTTTAAATCAATGTAAGAATTTAAAAGAATGTTAATAACACTAATTGTTACTCTTCTCTGACCAAACTTAGTTAAATAGAAGGAAATTGTTTTAAAACTACTTTTCAGGTCGGCGAAGATAGATATGAATTCGGAAACTAGCTTTCTTTGGAGTCAAGGATAGATTATAGATGGTTTTTATTTTCTGCTTTTCTTCGTGTTTACATTTTCTGTAATGACAAATATTACTTTTGTAATAAAGAAGGGAACTTTTATTACCATTTTTCTAAAGTTTGCAATCTACCCACAACAGATAACTAAAAGATCACAATTATATTTACTGTGAATTATGGGAGTTTACTTATTTTTATCTTTTGCTTTTAAAAAAATTTTATTTTTCAATCACAATTTAACATTCAATATTATTTTATATTAGTTTCAGGTGCACAGCATAGTGGTTTGACAATCATATACCTTACACAGTGGTCTCCCCAATATTTCCAGTCCCCTCCTGGCACCCTGCATAGTTATTGCGATATCATTGACTATATTCCCTGTGCTGCACTTTATGTCCCCGTGACTGTTTTGTAACTGCCAATCTGTAGTTCTCGATCCATTCACCTTTTTCACCCAGTTCCCCTACCTTCCTCCCCTCTGGCAGCCATCTTTTCTATGGGAGTTTTTATTTATCTAGTGTAATAAAAAGTTTTTTATGAATATTCTTACATGTTTCTTAATACCTTTATTTTCTAGATATCCTATTTTTGTCTTGTGAAGAGTTTAACATCTGCCTGTCCAAATATTTACAGTATATCACGGTAAGTTGATAAGCCGTATTGTCAGTAAATGTCTGTTCTAAATTTTGGTGGGCTAGTCCAACAAATTGATATGTTGTTTAAATAAGTGCTATAATGTCTGCTCTCTGTGATTGGTCTTTTCCAAAAAAATGGGGATATAATAAAACTTAAACTCAACTCAGAACACAATAAACATGGTTTAGTCTTTCTTCGATTTTGTGGGTTATCGAGGCTCTGGTTATAAAAATAAATTGCTAATGTTTATTTTTATAATAGTAAACCACTATTATTTAGCAAGAACAGAATTCTTTATGTTCCTCTAAGTTATAATGACCCCTCTGGATTAATGCTTAATTTCCAGCAAGTATCTGGGCTTAAATTATCTATTGTTGTACTACTTTATGTGTCTGTATATGCCTATGTGTGTATAATTGTTACTTCTAAAATGTATAATAACACTCAGATTTACGTTTTGTGCATTTGTGCTTGTCCCAGGCTCCATCACACAACATCGGCCATGTGCTGTTGTAGTAAAACATGGAGTGGCGAGAAATACACCGATCCTTTTACACTTGGTAGGAGATACTTGAAAGGCCTGTATGAGGACATTAGAAAGGTAAGATAGCTTTAACGATGCTGTGTAGTAATGTTGAGCTTTTAGAATTAGTGAAAACAAAATGCAGGTTTCCGACAGGTACAGAGCCATTGCAAACTTGATTCACAAATGTCAAGTTTCAGAACTTGAGCAACAGCAATAGGGCAACCTGGAGGACAAAACATATTACCATCCAGAAAGGGGTCGTTGCAGAGCTGGGCAACTGAAAAAAAAAGGTACAAGCAGCACCTGCCTGTCCAGTGGGTTAGCAAACATTTTCTCTTCAATTCTATTACCTACCCCACGGCAATTGAAACACCGAAACCGTCATGACTCCTGCTACCATCTTCCGTATCTAATTCTGAATCTCTGCCTGACTGCCCCAAATAGGGATTTCTTCATTTATGCTTTTCTCCCCAAAAGTGTCAGTGGTCCCCAACCTCACTAGGATTCTGAAATGGTACCCAGAGATGTTTACATGCCCCCATCAGCTTCCTTCCCCTTTCGAGGTTCCCTCCTCCTCCTCGAGCCTCCACCCCACGCGGCTGTTTCCGCAGCCGCGCCACTTCCCGTTTGGTAGACCAGGTAGACGCCATGAGGAGGAGCCCCCTCGGTGCCTGCTCTGTTGCCATGGACAAGCTCACCTGTGCCCATCTACATGAAGTAGATGTCTCTTCCTTTCCAGAACAGTCCCTTTACCACTAGTGAAGCTCCTTCCCCAGTGCCTTGGGAACTGTGCCCACACTGGCCTGTTCTTTATCTGCTGACTCTCACTCTTCCTGCCTCTTTCCTGTCCCTTTAGGTGCTCCAGTTTGTTCATGTCCATCTTCTAAAGGACTGTGCCATGACCCAGTGTCCCACCCTGTCCCTTCCATCACAACATGCCCTACTTCTGTCTCTGTTTTGCCCCTTCACATTCACTCTGCCATCACACTGTGCCTTTCCTTCCAGCCTCTTCTCCGAACCTGCCTTTGCCGAGGTCTTCAGTAGCTTCCTTCTAATAAATCCAATGGACACTTCAGCTTTTATTTTCTTGACTTTTTTAAACATTGGACACTGTTAACTGCTCCTACTCAGGAAACTCTCCCCCTGGCTTCCTGCACTTCCCTTGTTCTTAATTCTTCATCCTTCAGTCTGCATCCTGGGTTCCTCTCTCTCCCCTCCAGCACATCCCCTTTAGTTTGCCATTTACTGGGGTTCTGTTGGCCCCCCCATGTCCTCAGTTTACCCATTTTCATACTTACCGACACCCCAAATAGTATCTTTTTTCCAGATTGAACCATTGCTCAGAAACCAATGCATCTAACTGCTCACTGGCAGCTCCATGAAGTGGCCGTGACTATCTCAAACTTAACATTTCTGAATCTGTACTCTCTCCTACTCATTGTTTTTTCTCCTGTTTTTCCCAGGAACCCCAGAAGGACCCTCCCTCCTCCCTCTCGTTGCCCTGCACATGCCCCAGCCTGTGCCCTGCCTTCAGTCCCACTGCTCTAGGTCAGGCCGCCCTCATTTGTGTCGCTGTCATCCGTGCTGTCTCCCCGCCCCGCTCACCCTCAGCCAGAGCTGCCTCCTGTGCGATCCTAGGGTAACTGCACTCACCTCAAGGACAGCACCTGTCGCACCGTTGCATTTTATTGCAGTTATTGTTTTATTACTTCTCCCCTTCTAGACTCTGAGCTCCTTGTTGGCAAGGGCTGTCTCATTGACCTCTGCCTTTATTACCGTGCTTGGCACTGAGTCAGTAGTTGGATGAGTTAATAACTGGCCTGCGGTATGGTTTTCTCCTTTGCTGGGATGGGGGTCCCCTGGGTCCGTTCTTACTCCCACTGCTAAGGAGTCAGCTCTGACTCATTCCAGCAAGTCCTTGAGGGGCAGGTAAAACAAACATACCTCCATCACCTGGAAGGCTGGTCATCCTCTTCACAAATCAAAGCCCTACCTATCCTTTAATACCAGATTAAAGTTTATCTCCTCCATGAAATGTTGGGTTTTTCTAGCCCTCCCTGCTCTCTCTTCTTTGAACTTACAATGTAATATTTAATGTACAGCATTGTTCAAGTTACAACTGCATTATTCGCTGAATATTTAGTTTTTAAAACAATTTTGTCTCCCCAACTCATTTGTAAGCTCCTCGCCATCCGAAAAACCATGCCTTATGCATCCTTTGTGAACTTAGTCCTGCTGCTTCTCACCCACTGCTCCAGGCGCAGCTTTGCCTCCCCACCCAGGACAGCCTGACCTCCTGCCTCTTAGGCCCCCGACAGCCCCTGGCTCCCAAGCCCCTGTCTTTGTTCCTTCCCCTCCATCTTCCAAGCTGCTAGCCAGCGCCTACTCCTTTCTCTGGCCAGCTGTCACTGGCCCAGTGGACGGGGCCCCCTCGAGCTTGCTGCCCCTTCCTGCTGTTGCTCGGAGCCGCTGGGAGTGGCTCAGTTACCAGGCAGCCAGGATTTTGGCCCCACGAAATAGGAACCTTTTTCAACTGAGTGTTGGATTTCTCAATTAAAATGAATACACTGAAACCAAATCCAAGTTTTGAAAAAGAAATCTTGCTGTCTTTCTATTCAATGATAATGCCATACTGACACAGAAACTTTATTTCAGGAACTACTCATATCTCCAACAGAACTTAAGGAAATGTCTGAATACTACTTTGATGGAAAAGGAAAAGCCTTTCGACCAATTATCGTGGTGCTAATGGCCCAAGCGTGTAATATTCATTATAATGATTCCCGGTGAGTCATGTACTTTCACTCCTCTGCTATGTTGTATTTGGCAGGTCCTCCTTCTTGAGACTACCATTTAGCTTCCTGTCTATGCTTAGATAGCATATATCTAAAAATTCACTTCCTGATGAGTAGCTTCTAACTTGGAATCACTAAGGCCATTCTGGAATCTAGCCTGAGCACGTTCCTTTTCCACCTTTTTCCACCTTTTTCCACCTTTTTCCACCTTTTTCCACCTTTTTCATGTCCGTGGAAGAACAACTTCAGCTGCAAACAGGCAGCTGAAGTCTATAAGCCAAATGTAGTTTTCTTGTTCAGAAGGCTACCAGGACATATGCATACATGTAATCGTTTTCCACATGGGCTAGCTAGTCTAAAGGTTGATGGTTATAAAGTGATAAGCTTTGCCATGATTCTGGGCACCACACCCAAGCAGTGCCCTGCCTTCCTGCGACTTCTGGAAATGTGCCAGCGGGAAATCTTTTTTTAAAAAAGGCATTTGACTATGGTCCTCACCTTTTGTGTTTTGAATAAATTTGAAATTTTTTAAAGATTTTATTTATTTATTTTTAGAGAGAGGGGAAGGGAGGAAGAAAGAGAGGAAGAGAAACATCGATGTGCTAGAGAAACATCAGTTGGCTGCCTCTTACACACCCCCGATCAGGGACCTGGCTGGCAACCCAGGCATGTGCCCCGACCAGGAATTGAACTGGTGAACTTTCAGTTCGTAGACCGGTATTCAGTCCACTAAGCCACACCAGCCAGGGCGAATATATTTAAAATTTTAAAATGTTAAAACAATTGCAATGTTGAATATTAAAAGGACTCCGAAATGGAAAGAGGGTGCACCCATGTTGCCTCATGTAGCCATCTTTGCCATTCCCTCTGCCCCTCCCCTCTCATACTCAGTCATGCCATATATAATTTTGAGTTCTGCTTTGTTTACTCACTATTGTTTTTTAAAGTCTTTACCATTTTGCTGGAGTGTCTTCATAGTTATTTTTACATCATGTGATCTATTGATGGAAATTCCAGTAGTCTGCAGTGTACTGACACGTTTCCCTAGTGTCGAACATTTGTGTTATACTCCCTTTTGTCAATAGATAGTATTTTAAGGAATGCCTTTGTCAGCACTGAATTTAAGGATGCTGTCAGAGTGAGCATCAGATGTTGTTTCTGAGTGTGTGCTCCCCTCTACCACCTAGTGTGTGCACCCCCCTTCCTCAGTTTCAACACAGCACACCATGCTCAGGGGTGCCTCCCAATCACCGGAGACTTTCAAAGAGCTCCCAGTATAGTTTGAACAAGCGCTGAAATCTCTGGCACTGACCTTCTAACCATCATCAGACTCATTGTCAATTCACTTAGAAGGCAGGGCAGCAGAAATGCTCCCTCTGAACCAAACTTGCTGTATGCCTCATGTCGTCTAGAGGAGGGTTTCTCGGTGCAGACACGACAGACATTTTGGGCCATATCATTATTTGTGGTAGGTGGGGTTGTCGTGTGCATTGACAGAGGACATCGTGGCACCCCTGCCCTCTCCCCACTAGATGCTATTAGTGCCCCCACCCTCGGTTGATGACAACCAAAAAGGCCTCCATACGTTGCCAAATGTGTCCTGGGGAACAAAATCATCCCTGGTTGAGAACAAATCATCTAGGGAGGATGTGTGTTTATGTTTTCAGTTTCTTAGATTAATACATAATACAGTTGGTTGCCCTCAGAGATAACATGGGAAGGGAAATAGTCCATGGCACTCTACCTGTTATCCCCATAGGCGAAAGGTTTTCCAGTTTGCTTGAATGACCTGTATAAACTGTTCGTTGCAGAAAACATGGGAGAACATAACACAGAAAAGGCATTGCTAGTTCAAAAAGAAAGTTCAAGACTGCCCTCTCCAGGGATGCTTTGCGGGGATGCATTCCCCCCTTCAGCGAACAGAACAGGAAGGGCCTGTCCAGCGCTGGGCTAGGATCACACGGAGGCGTGCCTCTGGGCAGTACAGTCTCTCAGCTCTGTTACTCTCCAAGCCCCAGTGTCTTGAGAATAAGGGCCCTTCCTACAGTCCCTCCCTAAGGACCTTTGGATCAGGCTTTTAATGAGCTAAACATCTAGCTGTCAGTTCCGTGCCAGTTAGAGCAAAAAAGGGGCAGGAGGAGCGTTTGGAAAGCCGGGCCAGGGTGGGTGGTGGTACTGAGAAAGACTGGGGAGTGTGGACCCGCCACCGGAACCGAGGGTGAGGAAGGACACGGTCCGGTCTCAGTACTTCAAGGACCCAAACTTGTAGCAAGTCTATGCAGTTGCTGATAAAGATAAAATCTATTTTAGTCTGTATGTGTATATTGGAGAGCATACTGAAAACAAAATGTGGACCTTTATCAGGGAACAGTTGGGAAATGCGATTCACATCCTGAGAATTGTACAGGGAAAGAGAGACTTCATTTGCATTTTTTTAAAAAAATCCTCATCCTTGGAATTCAGATTTGTTGATTTTAGAGAGAAAGGAAGGGGGGTGGAGAGAAATATCAATGTGATAAAGAAACAGATCGGTTTCCTCCTGTACATGCGTCAAGTGGGGATCGAGGCCTCAGCCTTTGCTGTAAGGGATGGCTCCAACCAAGTGAGCTGCCCAGGTAGGGCACATTTGCATTTTAAGTAGCGAACTTATTCAGAATGAAACTGATGAATTCTATTCACATTCTTTAAAACCTATACTGATGCAGAGGATGAGCGGAAAGAAGGGTCTCCCTCCCATGACTGCGTTACTCAGAGCAGCTGAGCCTCTCTGCTCTTGGGCTGGGAAGAAACTTGGGAGGGTCCTCAGCACAAGACCCCTGAACTGATGCCCCCAACTTTCAGGTCACCTTTAGAAGAGGACAGACTCTCATTCCATTTTCCCACACTTAATAGGTGGCGCAGCAGTGGGCCAGCAAAGGCTGAGCCTATACCAGAACCCTTCTTAAGACATGCTTCCAATTTGACTTAAGAAAATTGAACGAATGCTCCGACTTGGACAGAGCTGTGTTGCCCGGATTTTGTACATCAGAATCACCGGACAACCCTGGCATGCATTTAAAAAATGCAGATTCCTGAGCCTCACCATTAGAAATTCTGATTCACTGTGTCTGAACCTCAGTCTGCATTTTAAAGAGTATTGATTCCGATATGGTGGGCCAGAGGTAGATTTGTAAGAAACACTGAGCTTGTCAGAGTTCTAAGAAAGTGCAACACTTATTTTTAGAATTGTGAGGCGAGACAAACAGAAGAACATTTTGAAATAGAAATAGAGCTTTTTGTATACCACTTGAGAACTCTGTTCATATATAACTTCTGGATTTGGGAATGTAAGTTTCTCTGTCTCTATTGTTAAAGTGAAATTTTTGAACTTTTAAAATTCATTTGCTTACCACCTTCGTTCCAAACCATGTAATACATTGCCAAGGTTTGATTTTTATTTTTAAATAGACAGTTTGTCCTCACTGGGAGTTTACTTGTAATTTGTTTCAGACTTCACTTTGTGTATTAGTATGAATAGGGAGAAAAAGTATTTTTTTAAATCACATGTAAGCTGGATGAAGTGTACATGGGAGGTCATTATATCATTACATCTGTTTTTGTCTGTGCTTAAAATTATTCGTCATAAAAATTGTGGCTTAAATCTAGTGAAAGAAAAACAAATGTGCTGAGGATATGAGTCATACCCTGCTCTCGCAGGTGTGATGTACAGCGGATGCAGCCAACCTGCAGAATTCAGGGACCCCTCTTCCCACTCTGGCTCGCCCGCCTGGCTTTTCTTAGTGCCTCTCCAAGAAGCTGGGAGAGTGTGGCGGCTATTTCACGGCAGGAAGTAGAAGTGGCGCCCAACTTCTTGAAGGCATGACTCAGTTTGGCACTTTGGAGAGTTCATCTTAAAGATAGTGTGAGATTTTTTTATAGCCTGTAAATTTTGGTTACCTGCCCCACCATTATGCTGTGCTGTGGATAAGCAGTGGCAGTATTTTCCATATACAAGCTGACACACATTAAAACCTAATTATGAGAGGAAAAGTACATTAGATAAAATTATTATAAAGCATCTAAAATGCAATGTTTGTTCTACATAGGGGCTATGTCACAATGCCAAATAGCATCTAAGCAAGAATCTTGATATCACCAGTCAAGAATTTAGCCATGCAAAATGGCATTTTCATATACTTATAATGTCTATAAAATTTTAAAATATTTAAAGAAATCTTTGTTGTTTTAATCTCTTCATAAAAACTCCAGTGTCTCAGTGAGCACTGCCATTGTAGTGCAAGTTCCCAGGAGGAACCCCTGTCTGCTGACATAGTTTGTGGTCATGGAGGTGGTACCCAATTTAGGAATGCATGAGACAGGCTAGAGGCTCTAACCGTTTTTTTTTTTAAGGTAAGTTCCACTACTAACCAGTAGAAAGTATGTATTTTAGTAGACTGAAATCCAGCTGAGAAAATATTCTAAAAAATAGCCTTTATATTTCAGGGGGGAGGGGAACCCTGTAAAAGTCTGTATCTTTTCCTGTGCATTCAATTCAAATAAGATAGGACCCAATAAATATATCCGAAAAATACTTATGGTCCCAGCTTCCTACTATAGCCTCTGTGAGAATCTCACCAAGGGATTCAGAACAGGCTTGTAGAAGCCATCTAAACCTCCTCCATTCTCTCATTTAAAAAAGTTTCATGGCAAGGCCTTCCCCTTCCCTCTTTGCTTTACTCTTTCCCTCTCGAAAGAATGTGTTGTGATCTGGAAGTACTTAGAACTGTTATGATTGTGACATTAATAAATAATGAGCAGCACTTTACAATTGATTTCCAAGCTAAAAGCTGTTGGAAGGTTCTAATGTTTAGTTCTAAAATCTTACATCAGAGGAGCCAGCAAGCCATCATATTATAAAATTATATTTAAAGCAAGATCAGGAGATGTTCTCGTGCTGATCTTAGTGTTTGTAGGTTGAATTCCAGCATCTTTAATGTAGCTGTACTTCATTTCTCATTGTTTTCTGCCAGGCCTCAGGAATCAGAATGAGCACTTGTATCTTTTACATCTGTTCAGATTAGGTTTTTCAAGAAAAAGTCATATTTTACTATCCCTCTCTTTTCTCCCCTCCAAGAGACAACTTGATATTTGAAAAGCTATTGAAATAAGTGAAACATTTGGTTAACATGTGTTTGAGTCAGGCATGTGTTTTAGGTTCAAAAAATTGAATGGACTACTTCCCCAGTTTGATTCTCTTGAAATTCAGTTTTTAAAAATTCCCATAGATGATGATGGTGATGATGATTAAAGAGAAACTGGGGACCATTCCCTTTTTAACTGTAAAGCTCAACATCTCTGTGTCTTCCTGAAAGTGTTAATCGTATAGTTTGTGTAAATTTGGGAAGTGAAAGTAGAAATTTCTAATGTAAAGTTTAAATGAAAAGAAAGTTTTAACCAAAATTCTCTCTTGGTTAATGAGGTCTTCTTACTAGACATTTAAGACAGCATTAAAAGCTTTAAACATAGTGACTGCTGGTTCTCTAATAACACGTTTTTAGAATGCTTCTCACCTATCTTCCCCCTCCACCCCTGAAATTTAATCGTAACCTAATTGTAAACTTGATCAACTGACAGAGACCACTAGTATAAGACAGAAAGACGATTCTTCAGCATGATGGCCAGAGTTCTGTGATGTTTCTCTCTTTTTGTTGTCAATCCTACAAATTCTATTTCTTAACGCAGTATTCATAAAACATAATCTTAGCATAAAATAAAATGTTCTCCAAGTGATAGAAATGTCTCTGTAGGGAAGCCAAAGTTTTTCTATGGTTTCTCTTAGAGAAATAAAATTCTTTGTCCTAGATCTGATATCCAGTTTTCACAAGATGATTGCTGAGAAGGTTATAGACGGCATCTCTGTTAAAAAACATTACTTTCTGTTAACTAGAGATGTGCAAGCCAGCCAGCGCACCATAGCCTTAATTGCAGAAATGATCCACACTGCTAGTCTGGTTCACGATGATGTTATTGATGATGCAAGTTCTCGAAGAGGAAAACACACAGTTAATAAAATCTGGGGTGAAAAGAAGGTATGTTTTGTTTTGTTTTTATCTTTCTTATCAAATCACATGTTCTATGGATTGTATTTCTTTTTCAGATTCGTCTCATTAAAAAATTATGCTTCCTCAAATGTGGTCTTCCAACTTTCAGAATAATATTCATGTCTTACCTTTATACAGATATTTTATCATAGATAATACCATAGAGAAATAAATAATATTTCTGATTATTCTAAAAAATAGCCTTTATATTTCAGGGGGAAGGGGAACCCTGTAAAAGTCTGTATCTTTTCCTGTGCATTCAATTCAAATAAGATAGGACCCAATAAATATATCCGAAAAATACTTACGGTCCCAGCTTCCTACTATAGCCTCTGTGAGAATCTCACCAAGGGATTCAGAACAGGCTCGTAGAAGCCATCTAAACCTCCTCCATTCTCTCATTTAAAAAAGTTTCATGGCAAGGCCTTCCCCTTCCCTCTTTGCTTTACTCTTTCCCTCTCGAAAGAATGTGTATTCTATAGAATTCCTTTTGATTATAAGGGGGAAAAAATTCTGTAGTTATCCAAAAAGCTTATTTCATGTGGAATCACACATTGTACTTTTGGGCTCAGATTATTCAGATTCAGTTTAGTTCTGTAACCACTTATTGACTGCAATGTGTAAGAGTGTTATAAAACTTTTTTAAAACTTAAGTAAATAGAACTTTTAAAATAACATTCAAAAATATATAACAAAGTTACTGTTTTACAATGAAAATTTTACCTTTCACTATAGAAGCTCTGCAATCGGGATTCATTCATATACTATATCTATATTTTAAAGCATATTTCTATATTACTGTATTAGCATTTTTTTAAAAGGGTGTGCAAAATGGAGAATTTTGTTTGAGGATGTTTAAATCACGGTTGAAGAATGGGAATGCAGTTGAACAAATAAAAGTGAAGAAGGGCAGGCCCTCTGGGGGCAGCCCTCTCCCAGCCCGCAGGAGCCCCCGCTGGCCGCCCCGACCACTTGGAGCACAGACCAAACCCTAATGTGAAAGGTTTCCTCTCCTCACCTTCCCATTCCTCACATGTCGATCATGCCTGGGTCCTGCTGTCCTCTCATCGCCCTTATTAAAAGGAGAAATACATGTTCATTGTTATCCTTACATGCTACTCTGGCTTTAATGTCCTTGTCTTTGTTGTGTGATTGAGTCCTTCCATTTCACTCGTAAGGTTTTTATTTCAAGTTTTACATAAAAAGGTTTTGCGTTCCAGTGACAGAATGCCATACATCAGAACATTGGTAAGGAGAGGGTAGGGTTTTGTTTTAGAAAGGTCATCGGTAACTTTATGATGTCTCCTGCAGTTAGCTCTCTGTGTTCAGGACCTGTCCTAAAGCCTTACTTGAGCTCTTAGACAGGGATGAGGATTAAGAGAACAATTAAGGGCTTCTTGACCAGTTCTTTCTGTGACTGCCTCTGCTGCTGGGGGCCTCTTGCGGAGTGTGGTTGAAAAGAACATCCTGCTACCCTCTGTCTCCTTGAGCTGTGACACTGCTCTGCCGTGCACAAGGCCACCTGCCAGTCTCCTCTCCTTTTCTGCCTCTCACTCAAAATTACCTGACCGAGTAGCTCAGCTGGTTAGAGCATTGTCCCCATACACCAAGGTTGTGGGTTTGGTTCCCCATCAGGGCACATACAAGAAACAACCAATGAAGGCATATGTAAGTGAAACAATAAATCGGTGCATGTGTGTGTCTCTCTCCCTCTCCCTGCCCCTCTTTACCCCGCTCCCTTCCTCTCTCTCTAAAGATCAGTAAAGAAAGAAAACCTACTATCATATCAATTTTAAGAAAACCCCACTCACACAGCAACTCCTCTGTGAGCCCCCATTGCCCTGCCAGGGCTGCCAGCCCTGCCTGCCTTTAACCCCTCACCCCCGCCAGCCCCAGTCTAGTGGCTTCAGTTCCATATGCTGGATCTTTTGGCCTCCAGGATCCTCAGGGACAGGAGAGGAAAAGAGGTAAATGCTTAGAGATCCAAGCCCTCCACTACAATGATGTGCTATAGATGGATGGGTCTCTAGAACCAACAGACAATATAAACTTAAAATGTTTAAAAATTCTATGAATTATAATTTCTATGAACTTTAGCATTTATAACTAGATGCTCTATAACGTAACAGACATATCTTTCAATATATAAGTTAATGTATTTGATTATAGTGGGATCTGAATGAACTTCCTGGAGATGCCATCTGAGCTAATTATGCAGATGAGCACTAGATGAAGAAAGGGAAGGACACTGGGGGCAGAAGAAGCCCTAAGTGCAAAGGCACAAGAAGATGGTTTGAGGGAGGAGTGTATGGTCCAACATGACTAAACTGAGGCAGCTGCCTCTTGGTGGGGCCAGGGACCATCTCTAAAGTGAAGAGCTAGACTGGGTAAGCTCTGAGAGCCAGTCCAGGTCAAACAGTGTCCAAATCTGCTACAGTTTTACAAAATCCTTCTGAGCAAAAGGAAGGGGAAACATCCAAGGTGACCCCTTCTTCCCATTCTGTTTGTATCATCTGAGAAGTCAACTTCATTGCTGATGCCATTGCTCTGACACTTTTCTCTAAAAGTTGTTTTTTTCTTCTCTAGGCTGTTCTTGCTGGAGATTTCATTCTTTCAGTAGCATCTATAGCTCTGGCACGAATTGGAAATACAACTGTTATATCTATTTTAACACAAGTTATTGAAGATCTGGTGCGTGGTAGGTTAATGTTAACTTTTCTTCTTTTTATTCCATTTTAGATTTAGCCAGGCAATAAAACCATGTCTCAAATGTCCTCTTTCCTGCGTTGTAGGTGAATTTCTTCAGCTGGGGTCAAAAGAGAATGAGAATGAAAGATTTGCGCACTACCTTGAAAAAACCTTCAAGAAGACTGCAAGCCTGATAGCCAACAGTTGTAAAGCAGTATGTACGTTGTCTTTTTTTCAAGTTAAAAAAAAAAAAAAATCCTCATAGCTCTTCCTTGGAAGCTAATTCTCCTAGAAAAAAATTCACTGAAGAACCTTAAAATAGTAACCAAAACCCCAAGAGGTCATTGAGAAAAGAATTAATCCCCAAACGGGAAAACTGCTATGGTTTTCCTATTTCTGTGTTCTTTTTGCTATGCAGACATCACTTTTCATCGTTCCCCTCCAAGAGTTTAATCAAAATAAGCTTTAGTCAGTAAATCTAACTTTCAAACTATGTTACCTGTCGGACAACTTATGAATAATACTTCTCATGATGGTTGTCCCACACACTGTGTCTGACATTTTTACCTTTAAAAAGTTACTAAGTACTGTGTTCTTAAATACAATATTTATCCAGGAGAAATGTATAACTATAGTACTAGATTGTACTAGTATTCTGTTCCTTTTTTTATGAGTAGTGGTTCTTCCCATTATTTTTTTCATGAAATATAAACAAGCCATTTTTCTTCAGGATATAAATTATGAACCATAACTTTTCGTTTTCCTCAGCATTCTCCCTGGCCTTCCTACTACTCTCCACATACTTTACTTTTTTAAAAAACTCAGCATTACCTTTAATATGTACACTAAAATGTGTGGTGTTCAGTGCTAGCCCATAAATAAAAGTTCTGTCCATGGAATTATCCCTGTAGCGTGTCTCAGCCTAACAGATATAACAGATGAAACCTGGACAAGTAATAGTCCTTTGTAATTAAAGCAACAGGAAAGAAAACCTGTAAGGGGCAAATGTCAGTTGCTGTCATGATACCTTTTTTTTATCCTCACGTGAGGACATTTTTTTTCACTGCTTTTAGAGAGAGAAGAAGGGAAAGAAACATCAGTGTGAGAGATTGGTTGCCTCCTGTATGTGCCGAGATCAGGTTTCAAACCCACAACCTTTCAGTTATGGGATGATGCTCCAACCAGCTGAGCCACACAGCCAGGGCTGTCATGATACACTCTTAACACAATTAGAGTTAAAGAGCTTTTCTTCACACCTCTCGGGTAAAAAAAAAAAATTCCCTTGCCCATAGTGTCTCTGTTTTGAAAAATGTCAAGAAATGGATAGCCGTAAACCAGAAAAGAATGAGGACATTTTCTTCCTAAAAAAGACCTAATTAAACCCTAGGAATGAGAATTATGTAGAACATGCTGCACAATTTCAGCCACTTTTATCTTTATTGAAAGGGCTATTTTTTTTTCCAAGAAATTGCAAATTTTTTTTAAAAAGAGACAGATTAAAATATGATAGACACTGGAATGCCAACTAAAAGACTGACCTGTTTAAAGTGGGCACTACGGCAGCCAGCCTTGGTTCACAGCTTGGCCATGCCTGGGCACCTCCAAGCCCAGCACACGTAGCAGCCATCTGCAGATCACTTTGTAGCTTATGCTGTGTCACCCAAGACAGAACACAGGTGGTGGCTGACGTAGGACCAGCAATCAAGGCTCAACTACAACAGGAAGGTGTACACAGCCTACACCGTGGGCACACCTTGAGTACCCAGCTTGGGTGACAGAGGAGGCTGTGCCACTGAACCCTACAGAACATTTACCACATTATGCCACTCTACCAAGCCTGGGAGCTCTGTCTGATACATGGAAACAAACAGGGAGGCTCCCAAAATGAAGAGACAAAGAAATGGCCCAAATGAAAGAAGAAAACAAAATTCTAGAAAAAAAACTAAACAAAATGGAGATAAGCAATCTACTAGATGCAGGGTTCAAAACACTGGTTATAAAGGATCAGTCAGAAATGAAAGACACACTAATAGAAATAAAGAACAATTTACAGGGAGTCAACAATAGAGTGGGTGAATCAAATCAGTATTTGAAATATAAATAGGCAAAAACAACCAATCAGAATAGCAAAAAGAAAAAAGAATCCAAAAAAATGAGGATAGTGTAAGGAGACCGTGGGACAACTTTAAGCGTACGAATATTTGCATCATGGGGGTGCGGTACAGAGAGGAGAGACAGCAAGAAATTGGAAACAGCTTGAAAAAATATTGACAGAAAACTCCCCTAACTTGGTAAAGGAAATAGACATAGAAGCCCAGGAAGTACAGAGAGTCCTAAATAAGATGAATCCAAAGAGGCCCACACCAATACACATTATAATTAAAATGCCAAAAGTTAGACAAAGAGAATCTTAAAAGCAGCAAGAGAAATGTCAGTTACCTACAAGGAAACTCCCATAAGACTGTCAGCTGATTTCTCAAAAGAAACTGCAGGATAGAAGGGAGTGTGAAGAAATATTCAACGTAATAAAAAAAAAAACTAGGACCTACAACCAAGAATACTCTACCCAGCAAAGCTATTATTTAGAATCGAAGGACAGGTAAAGAGCTTCCCAGACAAGGTAAAGCTAAAGGAGTTCATCACCACCAAACCGGTATTATATGAAGTGTTAAAGGGCCTTCTTTAAAAGAAAAAGATGAAAATTATGAAAGAATAAAATGGCAATAAATACATATCAACAATTGAATCTAAAAAACAAGCAGAACAGCAACAGAATCATAGATACAGAGAATGTTTTGATGGTTGCCAGATGGCAGGGGGTCAGAAGATGGGCAAAAAAAGTGAAGAGATTAAGAAGTTCAAATTGGTAGTTACAGAATAATCAAGGAATGTAAAGTACAGCATAAGCAATAGTGTGTGTGTGTGTGTGTGTGTGTGTGTGTGTGTGTATTTTCTAACCATGGACATGGACGACAGTGTGGGGATTGCCTTAGGGAGTGGCGAGGAAGCTGGGTAGAGGGGGGCACAGGTGGGAAAATTGGGACAACTGTAATAGCATAAACCACATATTTTTTAAAAATTAAAGTGGGCACCATGCCCTGACTGGGTGGCTCAGTTGGTTGGAGTGTCATCCCATATACCAAAAGGCTGTGGGTTTGATTTCTCTCTCTCTCTCCCTCTCTCTATCTCCGTCTCCCCCCCCCCACCCCGTCTAAAATCAATAAACATACCCTCGGGAGAGGATTAAAAATTAATAAAATAAAATGGGTGCCATAAAGATGTGCCATTAACTGATGGCCAGAATTTCTGTGAAGATCAAGATCTGTCCTCATGAGGCATCTGAGTGTGCTCAGTGAAGCTCCTTGATGATTTCAGCAGCAGTTAGAAGCACCTGCAGGTAGAGGGGCTGTTGGAACTAGAAACACATAGAATCATTGTCCACACAGAGCACACAGGCCGTGGGCACCACTTGGAGCCAGAACAGGAATTAATGCACTCAGTGAACAAATCCTTTGAAGGGGTCAAAGAGATGAGCCCAAGTCATCAAAAAAAGGCTTAATTGTGGTCAGTGTCCTTTGCTTAGGAAGTCAAAGACATTATAGCACATATATCAATTTATAAAGAGCACCTTGTTCTTCACAGATTAGCAAGTAGACAGTGGATGTGGATGTTAACATGGCTCAGCCCTATTAAAAATGAATTGTTTTATGGCTGTCCACTAGGAGGCATGCTGGCATCATCCCAGAACTCACTTTCATGGGATTTACTCCTAAATTCTCTGAGTAAAAGTTTCTATATTTAAGTGCCTCTGAGTAGAAATATTCCAGAGGTATTATGTTTTCAAAATTGCTATTTTTATATAGCCCTGGTATTTAAAATGCAAATATATGTGGGCTCCCAAAGAATGCATGCAAGGTAAATCAGAGATGCCAAAAGAAGAGAATAAAGAGAATTTAACATCAGAATTATTACAGAACTAATGGAATTCCATAATGTTTCAGAATTTGAAGGAAATTTAGCAGCTTATAATTCATTCTGCTAAGGACGCCGTTTCTTCCCCCGTCCCCGTTTTTAACCACTTGTGTATTATTGGAAATAATGTTCAAATCTAAGAGAGGGCTGTCTAGGATTGTTTTGTGACACTAATGGGTATTAAAATAGAAGCAATCTTAGATGATTTGGCTATTTATTTGTATACATAGTGATGCCAAATACATTCTGTAGCTTACTGGTGAAGGATATGACTGATTCTCCAGAAACCCTGATGGGAATAAGACCTGAGAGGTCTGGTCCCTGTCCAGGGCTATTCAGTCCAACAGTGGCTGAGATGGGGTTTCAGCCGAGAACTGTATGTGGTAATCCTGCATGTTTCCCCCCTTTTTTTCCTGAATGTATGTGGGTGCATGTGGCCTGGAATCAGTGTGCTTTGTTTTCAAAGGCAGAGAGTTAGTTCTACCACAGATATTTATGTGGATCATATTTGTAGAACACTCTACTTTTTAGCTATGATATTGTTATCTAATCTACAGATAGACCTGATTCATATTTCCCAGTTGTCCTAATACTGGTATAACAAATGAAAACAATTTTTTTCTGCTCCAAGATCCAATCCATAATCTCATGTTGCATTCAGTTGTCATGAATCTTGAGTCTCTTATTCTGGAACACTTCTTTTATCCTACTACTAGTGGCGTTGACTTTGGTCACTTGAGCAGGGTGTTATCTGCCATATTTCTTCACTTTCAAGTTCAGACTCCCACTCTCTGGTTTTTGCATCTATTTAGAATTCTTTCCTGAGGCAGTTATTACTGTGCTAGTTGCCAAATGACTGTTTTAATTCCGTTATTCCTCTATATCACACTCCTACAGTTGAGTTGGTATTTTATTTTAAGGAAGATTTTTGTCTGTATGGACTCTTGGATTGTTATTTTATTCTTTGGAGTGTAACACTTTGTTATTTACATATTTCAGTGCTTGACTGTCCCACGGCTGGCCGGGGGGAGGCCCTCTGAGCCGGCTCCCGCGTCCAGCTCACGTTACCTGTCATCCTGCCTTCACCTTGTCCTTCCCAGCACTGGGACCCGTCCTTTCTCCAAGGAGCCCTGGTGCCTTTTGATGGAAAATGGTACTGAGAGACCAAGATCTGGGCACTGAGCACCTTATTCCACGTTAAGGATTCCCTCCCGTTCTTACTGATTTTGGTTTTTGGTTTTGAGGGTATTGTTTTAAGCCTGAAACATTAATATAGCTCCAAAAGTCAGAACTATACAAAGGGGGAACTGCCGTCTCCTCCCCTGCGCCCTGTTCCCATTCCCCATCGTTTCCACCTTCCCTGGAAGAAACCCATCTCATTAGTTTATGGTTCTTTTTACACAAATCAGCAGATGCATGTTTGTTTTTTCCCCTTCTTTCTTGCAACCAAAAGTAGTATGCTGTACCATAGTACTGTTGGTTTGTTTTGCTTTTGCACCTTGCTTTCTTCCGTTAACAATATATTGTGGAAATGATTCCATGCTGATTTGTAAAATCTTCCTCATTTTTTAAACAGCTACACCATATCCCGTTGTGTGGACTTAACCATGGTTTCAGCGACTCAGGCATTTAGGTTTCCAGTAGTTCGCAATTGCAAATACTACTACTACAATGACTAATTGTGGTGTAAATGTGTTTTTGTATTGTGAGACGTGTACCTTCAGGGTATGTTTCAAAGTAATTATAGATGCTGTTTTGAGAAAAGTTCCCTCCATAAGGCTTGCACCATTATGCCTTCCTACCAGTAAGTGGTGAGAGTGTCTTGCCTGTTTCCCCTCCGCCTCAGTGAACGTGTCGTAAGATGACAGTTTTTGCCAATCTGATGATAGATGAGAAGTGGTATTGCAGTGAAGTGTTAATTTGCATCTCTCTTTTCTGGGTGAAGTCACACAGCTTTTCAGATGCTTAAGAGCCATTTTTACACCTCTGATTTTTGTGAATTGTCAGTCCTTGTCTTTTGCCCATTTTCTGATGGGTGTTTGGTCATTCCCCCATCTTGGTTTTGAAGAACTCTTCATATATTAAGAATATTAGCTCTTTATCTAAGATATTATGTTGGATATGTTTTCTCCTAATATTTTCAGTTAGTTTTTGACAAAAACCTGTTTTGATATTTTTTTACATAATGGCGGAGTTCCAGTAATCTCCACTATTTTTTAATAAATAAGACCACAATACCTATATTTATCTGCCAGAATATATCGCTTAACTTACAGTGGCACAAACAGACATGGAGATGCTTGAGAGCTGTCATTTGCTATGGCCCTCCTAATCACTTTGAGACAAGGCTCAGGAGAATCTTGCGAGGTGTGGCCCTCCCCAGAAAGGGCCGCGCCCTGTACACCTCGGCCTGGCTGTGGACCTGCCTCCGACCGCACAGTGCCGAGCTCCGCTTTTTTCCTTCATCATTCCACCCACTTCCAGAAAGACATGCAGCATCTCTCCTCAGCTGCCAAGAACAAGCCACATTCCTTTCACGTCAGCACATTTCCTATCTAGCTTTACATTCCTTCTGATTTCCTAGTTGTGATAGAACAGATCCAGACAGCCCTTGCTTGGGTGGGGGACTGGGGGGAGGAGTGATCTCTACACTGCAGTAGTTGAAATCTGAGCAAAAATGGCCCTTCACAGCCTGTAAGGCAGAAGCTTCCCACTAAGAAGTGGCTTGGTTCTCGGTCGGCCAGCACGTGAGAGTTCCAAGTGGGAGGTGTGGGCCTCAGAGCACTACTTAACAAGGGGATGCTACTTGAACTCTTTGAACTCCCATTTTGTTGCCTATGAGAAGCAGCATAACAACGGAAGAGAACAGTCTCTGGAGCCAGACAGTTTGGGTTCAAATTCTGACTCTAACAGAGGACCACAGAGGGAGGGACTAAAGTCAGGGGACAGGGTTATCATCAGTGACCCATTCCAGAAAGGAGACTGAAGAGCCCTCTCTTGCATTCTCAGGGAGGATCAGTGTAGATGCTTCCTCTCCACTGGGGCAGTTGTCTCTCCCTCGCCCATTTTGGTTGTTCCTGTCTTTGTTTCCTAAAAAACGTGCCTGGGCCTGCTTAGCATGCTTAGCAGAGCAGCAAGAACTGCACTCAGATGGCCAGTGCCAGCTAGTTTTTTGGCTTTATTTTTTGAGTTTTAAGGAAGACTTAAAAGCTAAAAGTCTTATTTCTCCCCCACTGGAGAGGAAAAAAAGAAACATGGAGGAAGATCCTTTGATAATGAAAAAACAGTATCTATGTCTGAAGCATGAGGCTTGAGGCTATTAAAGACATATCAAGAAATAACTGCATTTCAAAAATAAGTGAAATCACTAAAAGCTTACTAAAAGGATGGACTACAAATGGGGAAATATATACATAATATATAATATATATGTATGGCAGCATCATGCATATGATTATATTAGATGCCTATCCATAAAATGAAGGCTGAATCAATAGAAAAATAACAAATAAAGCCGACAATTGGGACAATTGTGGACTGCTAGAAGCCAGCATTTCCCATAGTGGAGTCTCTTTCACATATCAAAAAAGTTAACCAGCAGAACTGGTCTAGTGTGGTTGGGTTTTTCTCCTAAGCAGTGGGAAAGGGCTTGTCCTGTGAAAAAAGAGAGGAACAGGATAGTTTTCTTAGAATTTTAAGAAAACAATCTGAGACTGAAATCCTTTCATTAAAAACTCAGGTACACAGATTTGAACTGTGCAGATCACTTATATGCAGATTTTTTTCAGTAAATACTGAAAATGTATTTTCCTTATGATTCTCTTACCACTTTTCTCTTGCTTCATTGTAAGAATACAGTGTAATATACGTAACATGTAAAATATGTGTTGGCTGTTTATATTATTGGTAAGGGTTTGGTTAATAGTAGACTATTAGTAGTTAAGTTTTAGGGGAGTTAAAAGTCTTATGTGGATTTTTGATTGCCTGGGGGTCAGCACCCATAATCCCACATTGTTCAAGGATCAGCTGTACTTGTACAGGTTTGGTTTCCTGAGAGCAGTATTTCCTGGTTGTACATAACCTAGCCTCACTGCCTCTTACTTAAAAGGAAACAGACCTGACTCCTTCCATGCAGTGGCTGCCTTCTGCCTGCTAGCCGTTTATCTGAGAATCCTCTTTCTGTTTCAGGTCTCTGTCTTGGGATGCCCCGACCCCGTGGTACATGAGATTGCCTATCAATATGGAAAAAATGTGGGAATAGCTTTTCAGGTTGGTCTCTTTGTGGCCTGTTCATACGGTGGGAATGGTGGCCGCGATGTTGGGGTGGTGGTGCTTGTAACATTCCTTTTGTCCTTTCATTAGCTCATAGATGATGTACTGGACTTCACTTCCAGTTCTGACCAGATGGGCAAACCAACATCAGCTGATCTGAAGCTCGGGTTAGCCACTGGCCCTGTCTTATTTGCTTGTCAGCAGGTAGGTTTTACAGAAGTCCCTTTGACACAGTACCATGTAGCCCCGCAGAACCTCTATCTTCCAGGCACAGCAGATGGGAAGGTGTAGATGAGTAGTCGGGTCAGAGACCTCAGATCTAGATTTGATCCTGGTTCTGTGACTGAGATGTTGGGGCCAGTCATTTTACCTCTAAATTTTATCTGTTTTCTTATCTGTAAAACTGAGCCGATTACAGCCTTCCTAGTAGAGCTGTTGAGGATTAACTGAGATTATATTCATGGAGATACTTTGTAAATTAAGTGCTGTCTGCATTTAAGATAGTGTGATTATTTCCACGTACTTGGAGCACTGACAGGGTGGTTTCCACATCTTGATTATAGGACTGGACTTTGGGTGTGCCTCAGAACCTCTTAAAAAGGCACAGGAAGGGCCTCCAACCTAAGAAATTCTGAGAAATTCTCCAGTTCCAGAAGTTTAATGGGACTGTTTGCTGCTCTCAGAGAGCCTCGGCCACTGCCTCAAAATGTCAAGAAGTCAGTGAAATGCACTGCTAGAACCACATAGTTCCTTCTTTCTCCAGATTGAGGGGCTGTCAATTAAGGAAGTAAGTAAAGCTGCCTTCATATTCTTAATATGGATGCTACTAAGTTTAGGAAGCCTCAAAGATGATGCAGTGACAGTCAAGGCAGACATTTCAGAGCCCGCTCTGGACCCTGGCCACACTGCATTCGCTGTGCCAAATGTCATTTGGAGTAAGTGGGACATTGGCTGGTATTAGGACACCTTTTTAATAGATTTAATATTAGTATTTAATTCATTATTTGGCAAAGCAATAAGATGTTCATCATGCCATGGAATTAAAAATTAGCTCTTTGGTCTAAAATTTTAGTAACTTTTAGTCTTCCAGAGATTTTGCCTCTATTTCACAAAATTTATAAAGATTAATTGTATCTTTCATAGAACTGTGTTTCCATTTGGGTATTATAGAAACCAGTGACCTTGCTTTTGATCAGTTTCTGAACCAAAAAGGAGAGATCTTATGTTTCTATCTAGTAGAGCCATAACCAGGTCAGTTCTCAGAGGAGGCTGATGGCTAGGGGAGGGGGGCGCTGGGCCAGATTACCTTGGGCAACACACTAGTGGCCGACAGTCAGCTGAGGAATGAGGGCTGTGAGATGCGGGAGCACTTTCGTGGGAGCTCGTGTCCTCATTCCCAGGCTCCATCCTCTCAGCATTTTGAGGCAGAGGTGAGATGTGAAGGCTGTGCTATAAATGGGTCTTTTTCTCCTGTTATAACTTGCCAGTTCAGAATTCAAGAATGTTAATACATGTGCCAAGTTCTGACAAAAATTTATAAAATTCCCTTGTATACATTAAAGTATGAGTGAGGAGCATTTTATTTACCTTTAACCCACCCAAAAAAGCAGAGGAATCACGGGTCATGTAAAGGCCTGCCTGATACTAGAAAGATCAGCCACTGGCTACCATTTATACAACTAGAAAAATTAATCTGCTCCTCAGACCCTGGTTGGTAAATGTCAGTGACACACAACCAGATGGACCGAGAGCCCCGAGATTCTGCCGCTTCCCAAAGGTTCCTTTAGCTAGGCTCTGGGGTTGCCAAGATGACTAAGGCCTTTCCTAAGGCAGTTTAGTCTACTAAAAAGCAACCTCAATTCTAAATAACTGTCACGAGCTCCATGTTACTAAATTAACAGCTGAGTCCTACTTAAACCTTCAGTTGATTGAGAATGGATGCCTCTTCTGATTGTGTTTCACTATGGACGTATTTCAAAAGGAACTAATTAGCTTTCTTCTACACAGAGGAGTACTGACTAATTGTACCTTCAGATATAGTGGGGCAAAGTCAGGAGGCAAATGGACCATTCCTACATATTTATTTGTCAGTAATCTGCAAAAGATTGAAAAATGCTACTTTAAAATATAGAGCAAGAAAAAGGAACAAACCTTCAGTGCCCCAACCACAGTTTTCTGTGCGTTTTACTGGGAAATCCCAGCATCACGAGGCACACACTCACCCTCACCAGACAGCACTTTTCCCATCTGCTTGTCAGGCAATGGGAGAAGGAGTTGAAAGACACATTAAAGCTTTAGAAAAGGGAACACGGAATGAGGCAGAGCAGGAAGTGACTCTGGACAGGACCTGTTTCCTAAGGAGACTGATTGTTCAGTCTCATGACACATGGTCTGAAAGTTAGTCAAATATATATTTATAACTTGCTTTCAAATAAAACATCAAGTGTAGGCTCTACTGAGGATTACACTGTCAAAAAAGGGATTCATTCTTGGCCAGAAATTTGTTTAGGGGAAAAGAGGTTCCAAAAATAACACAGAATGTGCAGTATCTCTACTTAATGAAAATGCATTGTTTTCATAGTTTGCAAAGGATTCTTTTATACATTATCTCTAATCTCACAAATCCTCTTTTGTTGTAGGTATAATGTCCGTTCTACAAATAAGAAAGTGATGCTCAGACTTGGCCAACATTTAACATTTGGTAAATGGCACAGCAAGCAATTAAACACCAGGTCTTCTCAGACCAGTATTCATTTTAGTACACAATGTAGTATCACTGCCACTGCTAGGAAAGCTAGTACCTGAGGAGCCTGTCTCACCTCCAGTAGGTCTTCCCAGAGTAGGAACTGGTGTGCTCTGGCAATGAGAAAGCACAGATGACACGAAGAGTCTTGGGTCAGCCTTCATTATTTGTGATTAACCTACCCATTCAGTGGAGTACTTAGTTGTAAGATGTCTGTACTCTTTTTTCATAGGCAGGTGAGCTTTGTTTGCAGATTAGAAAAATCCATGACTTAAACTTTTCCATTTGTGAACACCGAGTCTCACTGGACCAAGAAAATCAACCTTGGGGAAACAGCTTTTCTTTGGTGGCTTAGCATTGGGAACTTGGCATTTGTTGGACCCAGCAACTTGAGAGGAACCTCTCTGGAATTCACTATTTTGACATCTCTCTGAAGAGGTTTCTTGACAACAGCTGGTACAGAGGGTTTAAGGAAAGTTTTGGCATTTTGAGAGAGGTCCCAGTGATGACAGCGTCCTTCCATAAACACGTGTGTACGTGTTTTCTTTAAGAACAAAAACCTTATATTAAACTTTAAAGAGGATATAGGTCTCAGATTTTGAAATCTTCAGAAACAGAATGGAAGCGGTGTGTGTGTGTGTGCGCGCCCGCGCTCGCGCGCGTGCACGCGTGTAAGAGATAGAAACTACATTAGTGCGTTCTCAATTATCCTTTAAGAGATCTTTTCCTTTCCTCTTCTACTTCTTGTCCTTATTTGCTAAGTCTCCAGAGCTAAATGCCAGCATGTAGCTGCACTTCCAAATGCCATCAGTATCACCAGCCTCTGCACCAGCTGCACAGGCTTCTGCTGTTGTGACTGAACAAGTTACCCACGTTTTGTTTACACTCACTCCAATGTATTGATCATATTTATAGTTTAGTTTATGATATAGATTAGATTTCACAGGGTTAGAATCTGATTCATCCATAGCTGGTTTTCCTACTCTTAAAACAGATACTGAGAAACAAAACTAACTTCTCACAAAATCTGCAGAAAGGCGACTATTCTTCCTGTTATGTTTCTCATTTCTTCTCTGCATACACATGAAGGGGCAGAGGAGTATTGAGGGGAAGAGTTTAATATTTGCATAGGAAAAATGAACATGGGACATGTTTCAAAGGACAGATGTATTCACACTCAATGCAATTTTTTTTTCAAATTTTGCTTTCCCATTGCTTTTATAGTAAAAGGAAGCAAAAAACCATCCAATCTGCACATTTTACCACACTTGTTGGTATTGCACAGAAAACTCATATCCATAAACAAGGTGATGGTACCAGGTGCCCAGGACATTGTCACATCAGTTTTGAGGCTACAACCTTCTAGAAATCCAGTCTTGGAATGCGGTATTAGTAAACTAAGACAAATGCCTTTTAACTACTGTTAACTTTTGTGGTTAAATTTACCACTAAACTGACTGTTTGGAGCTTTCCTGATTTGTTTCTTGTAAAACTTAAATAATTTTATTCTTTAAAGACCAGTAACTAAAGCAAATTACTGGTTTTCATTTAAGAACCAAGCAGTTGCTGGCTCTTTAAATATTGTGAGCATGTTCTGACACATACTTTGCTGTGAAAGGAACATTCTTAATTCCTCATCTGCCATCATCTGGTTGAGGTTTCTCTCTGTGTCCTATTTTTTCTTCCAGAATTACTAATACCATGGTGGTGGTTTCAGAATAACAACTTATTTCACCATCAGGCTCACTGCCAGGGAAAAGCTGGCAACTGCTCTAAGCACTGACGTGTCCCAAAACCAAACACATCATCTCACCTCGTACTGTTGGAGCTACTGGATTTCAGATCCTGTAGTCCAGCTCCTCCAAGTCACAGAGGAGGAGGCTAGGACCCGCGGGATCAAGGAGCTCACTCAGCTGTGTCAGCGCCAACACAAGAGCTTGGCTCTACAAAATGAAGTGACTTGGTGTCCTGGTTTCCTAATTCTGTCAGTGGCAACAATTCCCCTAAATTGTTTCTAAGTATCATAGAACAGATTTTTCTCTTCAATGCCTTTTGTACCTGTTTTCTTTTTTCCTCTTACTGCCATCAGTTTAACTCTGTTCTCCTTCATAATTTACTGCAGTAACCTGACAGTACCTCTCTCTCTCTCTCCTCTAGTTCAGTGGTTTTCAACCTTGGCTGCAAAATAAAAACACGTGGGAAGTTTTTAAAATCCTGATGCTGACGCCAAACCCCAAGCCAATATAATCAGAGTCTTTGGGAGCAGATCCAGACAACTCTATTATAAACTCCCCTGAGGGATTCCCATGTACAGTCAGTGTTGAGTACTACTGCTTTAATCCAGTCCACTCCACGAGCTGCTAAGGCAGAGCTCTGCTCATAATATCCACTGCTCAAACCTCAATAGCTTTTAAGTCACTCAATTTAGTACTAAAAGTAGAATGCCTAAGTGCCACCTTCATCCTCGGCCAGTGGTTCTCAAAATGACAGCAGACACCAGCACAATCAGCATCATCTGTGAACTTTAAGAATTGTAACCTCAAGCCCACCCCTACTGAATTAAAAAAGGGGGAGAGGCCCAACAAGCCTCTGGTGACTGGTACAATTGAAAGTTCAAGAACCATTAAAAAAGTCAGGAGATTTTAGTCGTGTACTTTGTTCCCTCTCTTTCCTACTCTGCATTGGACCAATGATAGAACAGAACATCAGAATGCACACTGCACCAGCCCAGTCCCTGGGCATGGAAAATGGATGTCTTTCTTAGTTCTGATTCTTTAATTGCTATAATTTACTGCTCACCTACATCATCTGATCACCTTTTTCCCCCCCTATTGTTTCCTATTGTTACAAACTAATATTAGAACATTTGATTCTGCCAGGAGCAATAAATATTCTTTCTTTCTTTGTGGTTAGTTCCCAGAAATGAATGCTATGATAATGAGACGGTTCAGTTTGCCAGGAGATGTGGACAGAGCTCGACAGTACGTACTACAGGTAAGATTATTTTAAGAAGGAAAAAGGCAACAGCAGGTACAATGTAGAAGAGTTTTTTTTATAACCAAACAAATAACAATAACATTAAATTTTAGATACAAGACCACATATAGACCATTCTTGACAAAAACTAAGGAAAAACTTGTAAAATTCATATTTTCTTCTAGAATTTTTTCCAATAATTTTAGTTTCATTGGCCTTGGGTAGGAATCAGACATTAACATATTATGAAAGCTACCCCAGCGATTCTGCCATGCAGTCAGGGTAGAGACTCATTGGTTCGGAACCAGTCTTCCCACACTCCGTCAGCAGAGCACAACAGTTCTCCCAGTCACCCAGACTTGCCTCCACCCTGATCCAAGCCCTCACCCTTGCCACACGGATGGACTAGAACAGCAATCTACACAAAATTGGGCTTCTCCTAGTCCATCCTATGTAAATGCCATAGAAGTCTAACTATAGAAATGTTAAGCCCTGGCCAGGCTGTTGAGTTGGTTGGAGCATGTACGGGAGACAACTGATCGATGTTTCTCTAATATCAGTAAATATATCCTTGGGTCAAGTATAAAAAAATATTTAAAAATTAACCAATGTAGGAAAACTGTTTAACTTTCGGCGCTATAAGCTTATTTCAGATGTGTTGCCACATAGCCTCACAACTTCTCTGTGGAAGCCAGATTTTTTTGGTATATTTTCAGTTTTGAGAACTGTCTTTTGAGAATGAGCTGTTTCTAAAGAAGATCCAAATCTAAAGTCACTTGGATCCAATAGATCTAGTTAATGAGATGGAGTGAGCAATTTTTAGTAAGTAAATATGGTCTGAGATCTATAGTTAGTTCACTGCTTGAAAGAATTCCAAATAATTACTTTCCAGATTTTTGAAAATTTCCAAAAAGCAAAAGCCCTTCAAGGATATATTTCTCTTTTAAAAAACTCTATACTGTTAAGCATTGTAACTTACCGTGGGTTACCACCTTTTTGGAGGGCACTTTGGCAGTACTAGTAAAAACCTCATAAGCCCCGGCTGGGTGGCTCAGTTGGTTGGAGCACTGTCCTGTATACCAAAAGGTTGCGGGTTCTATTCCCAGTCGGGGCATGTAGGGGAGGGTAGCCTATTGGTGTTTTGCTCTCTCCCCCCCAATATCCCCCCCTTCCCATCTTCCTCTTTCTCTAAAATCAATAAAGCATGTCCTCAGGTGAGAATTAAACAAACAAACAAAAAACAGTGTAAGAGGAGGCTGTAGCTGATGAAGAAGTTGCTCTGCCTGGGAGAGGTTCTGGCTTCAGAAATAATAGTACGCACTGAAGGCTAAAGAGAGAAGTGGGACTGAAGGGAGAAATTAATTGTAGCTCTTATGCAAAGCACCAAAGTTCCAGCAAGCCTAGGCATAAATGCACTTTAAAAAAAAAAAAAAAAACCACGGAATGTCTCTAAACAAGTTCTCCAAAGACCTCAATTCTAGCTCCCATAGAGCGTCCTAATCGCTATTCCCTCATTATATATGAATGGACAACTAGGAGTTATTTAATAGGATTACTAAAAAATTGATTAAAGGTCACTAAATGAAAAGAGAAAAAGATGAACAGAAATAAAGAGGAAAAATATAATTAGGGGGATTCAAAAATAACTGCACTCATAAAATAACAGGATATTACCTTTAAATAATGAAAAGGAATAAACTCTCAAATTTCAAATGACTGGAAAACTAACTCCTAAGAAGAGTTGGAACACAGAATTGAGGAAATCTTCCAAAATGTAAACAGCAAGGGAAGATAATGAGAAAAGCTCCTAAGAGCATCAGTGCAATCATGTAACAAAACCAGAAGGCAGCGAGCAAGGCCTTCCAAATGATGAAACATTTTAAATCTATAATTCTGTATCCAGTCCAATAACTCTGAAAGCAAAAGTCACTACCACACTTAAGGACTAAAACGTTGACTTCCAGTACACATATTCTGGATAAGTTATTTGTGGATGTATTTCAGCAAGAGTGAAAACACCAAGAGGAAGATGTAGGTACTAAAACCAGTGGAATGAACCCAAGAATTCAGTAAAAAAAAACTCATCCTGCTATGGCAGTTGTACAAGAGCTAAAAACAAGTGGAAGTAACGAATAGAATAAGGCATTAAAAATATTAGGAATCAGGACTTCTTTCCCAAAGGGGGAGAAAAGGAGGCAATTATATTCAGAAATAGGCTTCTGTAGTACAGTAAGGCACAGCAAACTAAAATGTATCATATTTGGGTCAGCTGGTGTAGAAAATGAGAGGTCTGTCAACATGTTAGGAACATTCTCCTCAATGACAGAGGCATTGTGAACTTGGAATCATGAAGAAGGAAATGAAGTTACTGGCTTGATCATACACTAATAAACATTTTTACATTATAGAAATGATACTTTATTAGTGTTCAGCTTTTAAAAAGAACCAACATAAAAACATGGTTACAGAATCGAATGCAAACCTGACTATAGTGTTATGGTGCGGTTAAAGCGAAAAGGATAGAAGCACTGGTTTCCTCATCTACTCAAAGTCAGGTGGTGATGCTACATGATGGCAAAAAGTAACCAATAGAAGACCTAAAGGCAGCAATACAGGGCAGGGCAAAATAAGGTTTACAGTTGTTCATATGGAAGATCATGAATAAACTTTCATGTACTCACAACTGTAAACCTACTTTTACCCCACCCTGTATAATCAAATTTGGATCATAGGAGAGAGGCAATAGATAAGAACTAAAACTGGTAAGAAATAAACTAATGTGTAAAAAAAGCTAGTGCCTTTGTTAAAAACTGTTGATTTTCATCATCAGCTCTTCTGTACATTTTTGTTATTTACATGTTTTTTTTTTAAAAAAACTTTCACTTTAGATTTTTTTCATTTAAAAATTTATTGTATATGGAAGAGACCCTACTTGGGGTGGTGAACACAAAATACAGTATACAGATGATGTGTTGTGGAATTACGCACCTAAATAAAACCTGTATAATTTTGTTAAGTGTCACCCCAATAAATTCAATAAAAAGGAAAATTATTGTATAGGTATTTTATATGTGTAGAACTTTTAAAAAACTTTAGTACTTAAAAATAGATGGCTACTTTATATTAATGAGTTAGTTGCTTTGCATGCTAATAAGAGCAAAAGTTTGCTTTGAGAAAAGGGCCTAAAAGAAGTAGGCAGAGGCAGCTATGAACTATGAATTGAAGAGAGAACTTTAGAAATAGTTTCTAAACTCTATTAACTCTGTTAACTAATCTCAGAAATGTGTTTTAATTCATTGTAATGAATTTAAGAGCTGATCCAGTAGGTAAAATGTATCTGTTCTGTTTTTTCTGTATCTCATAGAGTGATGGTGTGCAACAGACAACCTACCTCGCCCAGCGGTACTGCCATGAAGCAATAAGAGAGATCAGTAAACTTCGACCATCCCCAGAAAGAGATGCCCTCATACAACTCTCAGAAACTGTACTCACAAGAGATAAATGACAAGGCTTTCTATTATTTACGGCAGCTATTTTACCAGACTGTGCCTAAAAAATTTTGTGGAATATACTTTGCTTCATGTGCAGATTACCAAAAATCATTTTTTAAAGTCATTTCAACCTTAATGATGGGCATTTCTTTTTATTGGCGGTTTTTCAGAAAAGTTTTAAAATAATTATATCATTTGAAATTGTCATTCTAGTCCTGTGAATTCTAACTGAGGTATCTTGATGTTTATGTGTGGTACTGTTTACACTGTTAGTATTCACATGTAAAGCCATTGCACAAATAAATAATCAATGTTAAAATTCAAATAGTTTTATCTTGTTTCACCATAGGAGTAAATGTCAAAGATTTGTGAGTCTACATTTTAATCAGAACTAGATTTTAACAGTATCCAAAATTTCATATAGGAGAATGGTTTATTATAAAAGGCTGTAAATACAATTTAGATGAGTTGTATACAAAACTGAAAACAATGAAACAAAAATGGTATGGTAGCTAGCTGATCACTAGTGATAGGAAATCATGTTGAAAATTAACAATGCAAAATGCATATGCAACAGTCACACTGATTTGATAGCAACAGTCTTTTAATTCTCAGAAACAAATGTTTTGTACTAATCTTACCATTTACTATACTGTTATAAGTCTGTAACACCCAGTACATAACTGTAATTTAAAATCCAAACAGTTGCTCAATACACAGAAATCCACACTTGAGTGCTCTACTTTAGTATCCTAGGCAATACAGAATTATACACAAAAGAAAATACCCCTCTAAAATAAACCTCCCGTAAATTAAGAGGAGACACAGAAAGTGCATGTGTTGCATTCCAATGAAGACAATACAAATCTGTTGGTCATGTATATCACTGTTCACTGATTAATATATGACTCACCTTTTCCAATTATTTAAAAAATCTTATGTTTCTAGTTCCAGGAATGGATTAAATAGTGCCTATTCAAAAATCAATTGCATCCACTTCTACAAAACAGTATGTAAAAGATATCTCTAATTTCCCTTCACTGAAAGCAGTCCACTGGAAAAATGAAGAACTGACTGATGAGCAATCCTTAAGAATTTTACCTACAGAATGTGTACACTTTTACACATTTTCTTGGTTCTGAAAAGTTACTTTAGAAAAGCAATTAAGTAGATTCCCTTGTACATAACCACCTAGATTTTAAATCTGCAAAAATCAGTCACATCTGATGTTGGGACAGGATAAGGCTAAAATTTTTTTCAAAGTTTATATATTGAGAAAATAGAACCATAATTCTGCAATAAATCAGTATCTTTTATTTATTTTTCTTAAAAGCAAATCAATGAAAGGAAGGACAAAAAACCTTTGGTTCACTTATTTGTATTTATGAATGGAAAAATTTATAATGCAAATTCACTCATTAAAAAACTCAGGTACAAATGACATTACAGGTAACCCTTTTTTTGTTTTGTTTCACATGGAAACCTTAGGGACTCAATTCATTTCAAGATATTTAAGTACGAGTACTCAAAGAAAATATTACACAAATTGGAAGCATCTTGGATTTTTAAAAGTATATTTCAATACATAAATTTGTATGCATGCTTTGAACAAATATAGTTATATTTCAAGAGTGAGAAAGTCTAAACAAAATGTATGACCAGCACCAGCATTTAAGTTTCTGATTTTAATATTAGTCTGACATAGCATTAGTAACCATGCTGCACTGAAACATGTAATGGTACAATCTGAATCATGATTTGTTAAATATTATACCCTACACCCCCAGAATATTTAAGCTGGTCATAATGTTAACATTGTGTAAGTAAATATATAAGCATAATCAGTTATGGACAGCATCTTGTATAAATTGCTGTTTAGCAATACACAAACTGCCTCAAAAGATTTATGCTTATAGGTAGACATTCAGTTATACCAATAAAACAGCATGTTCTGAAAATATGGGCACATTTTAAAACAATTTTGTTAACCATTAATAGTCCCACAGTATGACTGAGTAATAATAAGTATCTACTTTAAAAGCAAAAAATTTAATCAGTATAGTGCATGATTGATTCAACATAGTTCCCAGGGAACAGACCAGTCACTCGATTGCAGACTCCTTCATACCAGCCATCATCATTCTTCTTTATTACATAAATGATTGCACCCTCCATGAATGATAGCTCATCATCCTTGTCTTTTGTATAATCATATATTGCCACAACTATGGAGAAAAGAGTTGAAATAACAAGTGAATGCAGTATATCCAACATTTCATTGAATTATAAAATAACAATGCCAATTAAATCTATAGTATAGCAAAACCAACTATTTTTATGAATAGTCTTAACTCACATCTACAAATACTGGTAGACCAGTGACCAACCATGTAGACTAGAGAAATCAGTAGTTTTCTACCAATTTATTTTGGGAAGATCTCTGAAATTTTAGGATTTATTAGATACTTCATTTGTTCAAATATCTAAATACCAACCATGTGCAAAACACCATTTTTCAAAATAACTATTGAGCAAAGCTGCATGGCCAATCAGTAAATCAGCTATCTAATTTGAAAATACACATACCCCGAGATAAATCTCTACTCACCCAAGAAAAATATTCATGTAATATATGGGGTTATATTTAAAGTTATGTTATAGAATATTTACATACTTTAAAGGTCAACAGGGGAAATACCTAATTAAGACTTAAGAGAATTATTTGCAATTCTGTAGTATCTGATTATATTGAGTTCAAAATACTTTCTTTGCACAAAAAGACATCAAACAATTACTAGTTTTCTAAACTACTGGTTCATGAATTTATCCCCTCATTCTGCCTTTATAGCATAATAATTCTGAAATTACTTGTAATTTTCTAGTAAACATGAAATGGTATGTGATATGGATTTTTTTTCACTGATTTGTCTCATGTAGTTTTTCTTACAAGCAAGAGTTCTTAAGACATTTAAGATGTTCTGGAACTTACTCTTCCCCTTAAAAAAACATGGCTACTCCCCATAATTATTCAGAAATAGGGAAATATAATAAGGAAGAGACCTGAAGTACTAACTGTTAGCATCATTTGCTAAATTAAAATAGGCAATCTATTTTCCCCTTTATAAAACGCTGTACTAAGTAAACTCAATGAGTCCATTCCCCTCCATTTTAATCCTGCAGCAGGATCACAGTATTATGATTACAAGCTCACTGACAAGTTGTCTTTAAAAATACCAAAACAGAAAGAACAAATAATACTAAATTATTATCCTGGTATTATTTTTGGCTACAAAAACCAAACAAACAAAAAAACATCCTAGCGAACTGAGTGATTTTGCTAGCTATATTAAGAAAATAATGTAATAATAAAAAGTCAACTATTAATTATCAACTTGTCGATTGATACTTCTTTTAGTTCAACTTTGACAACATTAATTTCTTTGTAATCAAAGTCACAACAGGTTAATTTTGAGTGTTATAGACTTTTAAACTAATCATGACAAAGGCCTGCCACCCTCAAAGTCATTCAGGAGAACAAAAGTTTAATTTTCTCTTGTTCTTAGTTCCACTTACACAGAATCTGGTAAAAAATATCAAGCTCAGTTATGTTTTGATTTTCCAAGTCTGCTACGTAAATGAAACCTAGTCACATCCAACCTCCCCTCCCTCAATGCACATATTCTCTGAGTACCTCTTACTGTTGAGTATTTGACCATTAACAATTTGATGTCCATTTTATTCTCCAGGATCCTAAATACACAGATGTATAATCCTACTAAATATCAACATTTTGGTTTAGAATAGGGGTCAACAAACAATGGCCCATGGCCAAATCCAAGTCATTGTCTTTTTTATAAATAAAGTTTTACTGGAATGTAGCCACATCCACTCACTTGTATATTGTCTATGACTGACTTTGTGCTGTAACAGTGGGGTGGAATAGCTGTGAAAAGAGACTACGTGGCTGGCAAAGTTTTAAATATTTCAATTTGCAATATATACAAATATTGAGTCATTACGTTGTACACCTGAAACTGATATAATGTTATGTCAATTATATCTCAATTTTTTTTAAGTTAAAAGTATTTCTCTGGTTGTTTAAAAGAAAATGTGGTGACCCCTTGTTTTAAGACTCATCATTTCACATTGTGAAGATATTTTATATTCATCCTGGGTTACCAACTGTATTCACCATTACATAATTCCAAATTTGTCAACTGATATGAAAGTCCCAATTTCATATATATTTAAATTTGCTTTTCTAAGCCAGAAAATATGGGTAAAAACTACTCAAGTTTATCACCCTCATAGTAACCACAACCTATCTCTATTTGCAGGTGCATGAGAATCTAAATGTGAACTATAATACTAAAGACTTCCTGAACAATATGTAGAATATTTACTGTTTAAAAATACTAAAAAGGAAAACAGCAAATTTACTTTTAGCTATGTATTCAAAGCTTGGGCAAGAGAGAATGAACAATCTCAAGAGCTACAGCTACTCGCTTAAGGTCAGTTAATCTAATACAGCCAATGAAAGGAATACATTTCAAACGCAATCAAATGTGATCAACTAAATTACAGCATTTTTCAGAGTTCTATACAAATACAGATTTTTAAATAGAACATTATGAGATGAAAAATAGCAAACTCTCTAAAAACAGGATGTGTTTGCTTCCCAGCCACTATTTCTTAATAGATAATTATAGTGATTGTCAGGTAACTTAGGTAAATTTGGACATTAGAATTAAACATATACATAATTTCATGAAATAAAATTCTAGTGATTATTTTCTCTTTTTTAATAAGATCGACTAACTGAAAATCCTAATTGAAAACTTTTTCATGATAATCTCAATAGATTTTAAAATATTCAGATACAAAAGATATCTATTTTCATTATAAGAACTTAGAAATTTTGTTTTAAATCTTTACTAATTACATGACTAGTAAATCACTTCACTCCTTTTTTGTGTCTTTGATGTTTCATCCATAAAATGCAGCCAGGCAAGATAATCTCCATCTAAAAGCTGTCATTTGAAAAATCACATCTATCATTGTAACATATTTTTCATTTAAAATATAAAGATTCCTCTCTTTATACTGAAATTGTACAGAAAATAAGGTTTAACTCAATCACCTTGAGTAGTAAAATCATTCAAAATGTTAAGAACACCAGATTATTCTTCATAGCTCTAAATTCGATAATTAGGTTATTTTCCTTCACTCTAATTCAATGATTATTGTACCTTACCTTTCTCAATATAATTCTTGGGGGCCCAAGCAGGATCCCCATCTGCATATGGATCATTATACTGAACTACTGCAGCCTCCTCATCTTCATAATCCACTGGAGGTGGTGGTGGCGGAGGTGGAGAGTCATCAAACATGGGAATGTCATCCGGCGGAGGTGGTGGTGGTGGAGTTGGACTATCAGCAACTAAAAAAATTCAAATAATTTGAATCAGAAACTAGACTAAATGTAAATTCATAAATTAAAAAGAATTTAAGAAAGCTCTAATTCATATACAGCATGCACTATAATAAAACATGCAATGATTAGAAATAAAAGCTTGGTGAGTTAAAAGCTCTACTACTCAATAATTTTGCTATAGTAAAATGAGCTAAAAATAAAGGTATTAGGAAGTACTACAAATTAATGAATGCAGAAGGTTAGGAGACAGTATCTTTTTGTATAAGAATTGTAGGAGTAAAGAAGTTTCCTTATTCCAAGACTCAGGTCAGGATAAAGGTCACTCTTTGGTTAGCCTAACTCCTTAAATAAGCCTTATGTCACTTTTGTCATTTGGATTACATTAAACATTATAAATAACATTACGTTAATGGTTTAATAACCATTCATTGTGCATATTCATGTCCTTGATTTTAGCTTTTAATCTTTAGTTCCCCAGTAATAAGTGTCCAGTGGGCGAATATTTATTTTTCTTTGTTTTAAGGGATAAAAAAAGAAAAGAGAAAGCTTCTATGTACAGGTTTTCTATTCTATGTAAATTTTAATTAGAAAAAAGTTAAATTAAAAGTTCCAAAGTAGTAGAAAATCTCAGAGTATTTAAAAAAAATGGTATTCATAATCAACATTTTTAATGCAGAAAGCAAGTTAGGATTTTCGCCTTACTGCTAGTAAAATATAAGCACAAGATGAGGGGAAGACTGTATCTTAAAGATTCATTCTGAGAATACATCCACAACAAAGATTTTAAAAATAAAGTATTGTGGTAAGGTAATTAAAACAAACAAATACACAGAAAGTAACTTATATCATGCAAAAATAAAAACAACTTATACCTCCAATTCTAGATGGTTGTGGGATGTGTTTGTGTGTGATTTAAATAATTAGAAGTATAAATGGCTAGAACTGTGTTCACTGAACTATTATGACCATATAACAAATGCTCCCAACATTAAGGAATTCAAAACTGGAACACAATTAATTCTTAAAGACATATGAAAATGTTTGATACAAATTTATATAGGAATTTTCTCTCTCTCTCTCTCCCTTTCTCTCTCTCTCTCTCTCCAGGGAAGAAGTTCAGAATACCAATATACTAACTCAAACGCCAATTTCTAAGGCTATTTTTATATGATCAAAAAAAAAAAAAAAAAAGGTCACTCTATCTGTAATACAGGGTTTTAAAGTTTACTTTATCCTATTTGGAATCATGTGCTGAGGATATAACCAAGGGATCAAGATTTAAAACATTTGCAGATGAGAGCTCTATTTCCACTTAAATTCTGTGAATTTCTATTTTATCCTGTTGAGGAATGCAAAGGGCTATTTGAAAACAAATCCTGTGTGATAATGCTCATTCTGATAGGTTTACAGTGTATTATTCTTTCATTGAATGCTTGGATCTATTTTATTTTTGCCCATTAATGACCCTTGGAGCTTTCCATTATTATTGAGAGAAGAGGAAAATGGGTACAAATCCATCCTGACATCCAAGAGCCATAGCTTATGTCCTTAATATTACTTAATGTGTAAATTATGGTTTGCCTAAATCCCTGAATGCATTTACTCTTGATTTATGCATAACTTACTAGTTTAATGTTTTCATTTAATGGTCTTTATGTCCAACTACTGGGAATCTACATTGGCTTATATTCAAACTATATACACCGGGGCTGGAGTATGGGCAATTTAATTATCTATGCATAATACTTTATCTAGCACCCTGTGTTAGTTCAAAAATGCTTTCTGATATTAATCCTAAACAGTCTTAAACTGAAACACATTTATTAGTAGGTTAACCACTACATGCATTCATTATCACCAACTTTGAGTTGGTGGAACTCAATATTTAAGAAACTAAGTATTTAAGAGAACACAAAATAATTTGTATTTCACAATACATTTAAGATATTGATGATATTCAGTTTCTCACCAACCTTCCTAACATGCTTTCACAGTAGATGACAAATAGTGTTGGGCATTCTGCAGCACAAAAAGAATAACTGACTGGCTCGAGTTCATTTGTTTGGTGAAAGGTACTAAACTAGTACTATGGGCCTCTTTTGCAAAAAATAGGCATGTTTAGAATGTGCATTTAACTCTGAATTTCTATTTAAAGTTACCAAAGAGCTAGTCAGTAAGCTCTGGACCCACTAAATGGTTGTTCATTATGATTATTTTTTAAGTAGTTTCTAAAAATTCTTGCCTGTAAGGCAGTTCAAAAGGTTTAACTGGTTTAGGTTTAATTTCTTACAGCCTTAAAAACCAACAATTTACCCTTATTCACTTATTGTTATATGTTCAAATGCAGCATTTTCAAACAAATTTCAAGGTTGGTTTACACTCAGAAATTGCAGTGTTTTGAAACTACAATGTTTTATAAGAAGTTCATTAAATTATACATTTCTTTTAGGTAGGGCCTTTGTCTTAGACTACCTGTATTACTCCCAAAGACTAGCATGTAACACTAAATTAACAAATATTTAACTGGAGGAAGGGAGGAAATAGGTAGTGCTACATAAGGTCAGCAAAAGCTGAACAACAGAACTTGCCGCAATGTATTCTCCTGGAAGTTGATCAGGTGGGATACACATTTGTTCAAACCATTCTGAAATTTACCTGGATGGTGATGGTCCCAAATAAAGTAAATTACTACTAGACTACCTTACTTTACCATCTTAATCTCAACATCTATTTTGGCATAATAAAATTCTGTGATAGTAGTAGTCTTCGTTTTGCCAAATTAACATTCACTATGATCATGTAACTAGGAGTACATATCTTCCAGAATCTCGAAGTAATCAGGCAGCACAATATAATCTCTGTATCCTAATTAAATTCATAGATTTAAAATAACTTCCAAAACTCTCTGACCTTCCTTCAGAAGTCCTTAAAAAGATGACAGATTTGCATATTCATAAATAATCCTCATGGGCCTGCATGTAGCTAGCCAAAACATGAAGAGGGTTCTATAACGATAATCACATATGGACAGAGATCATGGATATAATTTATTTATTCTTGCAAGTTCATTCTCATTTTAACAATGAATCTTTATATAGGTTAAAAATTATTCTTATATCAAAATCTGAGGCTACAAAGCTTTTTTTTTAAATTTTTGTACTAAAGAAAAAACACCTATCCCAATTACAAAATAATCTCACAGTGTAACAATGTTTATATTGATGAATTTGGGGACAACACACAATGTTTTCTAACTAACACTCCTGATAATTATTGGAAGCTAGTTGTTTCCATCCAAGTTAAATTTTGTGTTTGATTATTCTTTCCTTAAGATCCTGCAAAGATCAAATTTCATGTTTTAGATCATGTAAATACATAAAGTTGCAGTTTTGAAATTTATATAGGTCAGTAATCATGCACAAGAGAAAGAACTGAAGACCGTGCTCTTCAGTTTCAATAACATATCTGCACCTGTTTTCAAGATAAGATTAGCTTCTCAACAAGAGTAAGGAAAATGATGACTCATCAGCCATGCATGCTATAAGGAGAGAGCCTCTACCCTTTGATAGCTCAGTTTTTACAAACTTACTGTTTTCCTGCACCCTGGCCACGAAGCCTGTGAGAGGTATCTGTGGAGTCAACTGAGGCATAGGGGGAGGAGGTGGAGCAATAGAAACTGACAGCAACAACACAGTATGGGGGAAGTAAAACAGATAAAGGAAAGAAAAGGAAACAAACAAAAAGCAGAAGTCAGTTACAAGGACCACAAACATAAGTATGCAAAGAACAGTTTGCAAATGAAACAAAACAAAACAAAAACAAAACAAAAACCTGCAGAACCTTCAAGTTCATTACACACAAGAAAACCTAAAGCTTAGTTGTGCTTGTTAGCCAATTGGTTGATTTTTTTTTTTAAAAAACACTTAATTTAATGCTAATATTATATTGATTGGGGAGGATTTAAATTTACCCTCATATTCACTTTCATGCAATGAAAATTCCAAATTCTAAGGCTTAAAAAATTAGTTAACAGTGAAATATTGATAGAGGTTTCTAGGATACTGTATCTTTGCCACATTTCTATAACCTAAGAGGTCAGTCTACCTTTAGGGTACTGTTTTAAATTAGAACCCAAATAAATATTGATGAAACAAATGTTAGGAAATAGCTATTTATCCCATAAAATAAATAACTACATTAATCACAGGTTTCCTTTAAGGACAGTTCATAGTTTACATACACACACACACACACACATCACACACATACAAAAAAATTTACATACAGCTCTCGAGGAAAAACCCTTGTTCATATAACAAGGTTATTATTACTCTTTAAATTGACAATTTTAAAGACAGCACTCCTAAATTTACTAGGGAATAGGAGTGTTCTATACATCATGTTAATTTTTTGCTGAGTTTTAGGAAGGAAGGTATCTCAAAAGTGACCTTTTTATCACTGTTCTGATAAAGGAAACCTGATTTAACAATAGTTTAAAATATGTAATTATTTGCATTTAAGTAATCTCTAACTATTCACTGAGTAGCTGGAAACATATTCCAACTTCTTTGTGGGGAGGACATAATTTTATAATAAATAAATACCAAATGTTCATGTGGGCAGCAAAAGTATTAAAAACTGTTAACTAAAAGTAAATATACACGCTTACCATTTTGCCTCATTTTAGCAAGACAGTAACTGCCAAAGATTGCTCAAAAAAGTCAATAGGGATGGATCACAAAATTCAGTTTACTGGTAGTCACAAGAAGTAATACCAAACTGACAGAAAAACAATTTATTGATTCCCAAGATTCATGTAATTGAAAGGCTGTTTCAATTAATCCAATTAAAAAATCTGGTGGTAAGCATAAAAATCTGAAGAGGTTCAGTGTTCAAAGACACAATAACTTAAAGCAATTAATTCATCGTATGGCTAAAAATAGCCTTCAGTTCACTGTGACACTGGTCCTTGTTCATCCTGATACTTTGTATATAGAGGGCTCTTTAATAAATAAAATGTTACAGTTTTTAATTTTAAAAAAACTCCCACAAAGCTGAAAATTTTTTTTCTAGAAACAACCCTTAGTAACTAGCCATGCCGGTTAGTAAGTAAAGAAAAAGTAAAGCTTTGCTGTAAAGATACTAATCTTTATTACCACCACATTTAGACAGAAAGGGAAAAATGCACATCAAAACACTAAAAACATTTACATCTACTATTACAACACCAACAGTAACTCAGATTGAAGGACAATTAATTTGACAACATATAATAGTATATGTAAAAGTCTGAAACTAAATTTGCTTTACAATATCCAAAAACTAGACATTCAGGAATGAAAATGTCTTGTCTGTGAATAAGCAACCCACTCAAGTACTGTTCAAATAAAACTACACAATCATGGATTAGGTGAAGAGTCACCAAAATTCCTATTTGCTGAGTAAATTAAATGCCCAAGTGAATAAAAAAAATTAACGTAAGGATGGGATCTAAAAATGCAGAATATGAAAAAAATGTTCATAAAACTAAAGAGGCTAATAATCAGATAATCTGTGGAAAATCAGACCCTGGCTACCTTTTACTACCAAAGGACATCAGGGAAAATGTAAGGTAAGATTCTAATTGGCAAAATTTCTTAGTAGTGTGGATGAAAATTTTAGCCTAGAAAAAGGATGTATAATTTTGGGGATTATTTGTGAATTCTAACATTTCTGCTAAAGCGGTTTTCAATTCTTAGGAGGTTTTCTTCTTTTTCTTTTGCCACAACAGCAATTAATCTTTGACTCTAAATAAAAAACCAAATAAGGTAACTTTCTCCCAGCTCTGCTTTAAAATACATGTTCAGTAGTACATGCATTATAAATAAAACGAACTTAAACCAACTGCCTATGTAAACATGGAGTATTCAGGGTTTTTTATTTTCTTTTAATACTTTATTTTTAAATTGTAATTGACATACAATATTATATTAGTTTTAGGTTTACAACCCCATGATAACTTACAAAGAGATCAACCCAATAAATCTAGTACTCATCTGACACCATATATAGTTATTACAGTATTACTGACTATATTCCCTATGCTATACTTTACTTACATCCCCATGACTGTAACTACCAATTTTAGTCAGTGTTTTTAAAGTCAACTAAAAAAACACACATCTCCAGAAAGTAGCTACAAAAGCTCTGTGGGTAAAGTGTGTTTTGGTCTAGTCTCAGTGATCACCCTCCAAGCCACTAACAAGTACTGGACAATGGACTCATTTCAGATCTGTTTTATTGTCATTCGTTTTTGGGTTAAGCATCTTGATATGGAAAGTGAAATTAATGACTACCACAAGCAATTCAAATTTTCTGACATTATATGCCCAAACTATTTTCTAATCTTAATAGCTTTTAAATGTCGATTGCAGTTAGTGTTGAGATGTGCAATTTGAGGCAAACAAGAAGAAATCAAAAGAAAATCCTCCCCACTGTTATAATTATTCAGAGACAGAATAAGCAAATACCACTAATTTTTTTATTGGTTTTGAACTCATTTCAGTATAAATTAACAAGCTTAAAAGTGATAGCCAGCAATTTTATATTATTTTAAAGAAAAACATTCACGGTGTTTAAAATTTTACTGTTATTGAACAGTCTCAAATATGCCAATAAAAATAAATTCAGTTTAATTAATTTCAGCACTTTTCTAGTTCTATTTAGGATAAAAATATCATATTAAAGCATTAGTTAAATTTTAGTATACAAGTACTCTAAACCTGAATTATTTGAAAGGGATAAGCAATTGTTTTTAAAACGATATGATTCAAGAAACGACTTCTTAAAGCAAAAATAAATTTCAAATAGCATGGTTTCAATTGTTGTCTATCACTGGCAAAAATAACGGTTTTCAAATAATTTCCTTCAAAAGGAGCTCCACTGGTGCTGTATGCCTGCAAAGCACAAGCTTACTTGAATTCTGAGAATAAAGTGGACCTCCATTAACATGAGGCTGAGCAGAAAACTGAGCAGTCACAGAGGGAGTTCGTCTGTATCCACCAGAAGATGTCGAGGAAGTGGTAGAGTTGTGCCGAGAAATCTGCCTGGTCATTGTGCCATACTGGGAACCAGGAGCTGAGCCCGGAGCCGCTGAAAAGCATTAGTCAAAGGCAACCAACAGAGAATTTGAGCACTGTATATCACCTCCAACAGCAGAACGAAGAGAGGGGGTACTTTCAGTTAGAAGTATTTATTATTTTTAAAGCCCACAGCACAAAATAAAGAGAAAAGTAAAGGTAAAACACAAATAGCTCTATCTCTGAAGTTACAAACAGAAGGACACACAGATACTGTGCGGAAAGCTGCAAAAGTAACACTCTCAAACCTTTAAATTTCACATAAGCCCAAGGATTTTGCTAATATTATGTATGAATTTTCTGTGCCACTTTAGAACACATAGCTTTTATATGTAAATTGTGTCTCTCCAACCAAGTACCAAAAGATAGTCTGAAGTGGAAAGCGTCAGTTTTTAAATATGAATATATTAATATCTGATTTACAAACTTCTTCCTTTCCATTGCCAAATCTTCAGAAGCACAGTATAAGAATCTATCCAGCCCTGGCCAGGCAGCTCAGCTGGTTGGAGCGTCGTCCCATACACCAAAAGGTTGCGGGTTCAATTCCCAGTCAGGGCATACACCTAGGCTGCAGGCTCAATCCCTGGGGCACATACAGAAATTGATGTTTCCCTCTCTCTAAAATCAATAAACATACCCTAGGGTGAGGGTTTCTTTTTATCTATCCAGCCAAATCCAGGTTAAATTATAAATTTTAAATACCTAAGCATATTTTCGATATATTGTACTATATTTATTTGAATGTTACTGTATTACCAGTTGTCAATACATATTATAGTAGAATCATTTTTAATAAAAGTACGACTTCTAGTTTCAAAGCTGATAATATATATTGCCAAATTTAAGAATGAAATACTTTTTCCTATCACTTAAAATTGTGTACTGACAAAACTGGAAAAAATTTTTGAGTCTGTAAAATATGGACATTTTAAGGCAACACTGTGGAGGAAAAAATCCATTCTTTCTCCATACTTGAAGGCTTTGTTTCCATATTATACCCAAAGCAATCTTTTTAAAAAAATTATCATGCATATCTAAACTGTCTAAAGTATTAATACTTAAAATTTTATTCAATGTCATCTTCATCAACATTTCAGAAGTTTAATACTTAAAAGGTTAATAAAGTTCAAAGCCTCTAAAGTTAACTATACTTTCCAAAGGTTACTCTGGGATTAATAGTATCATCTGTGCCCAATTCAAACATCTAACCATGATGAAATAAAAAGACAGCATCCTAGTTTATTTTCCTTTAGTTGTCTAATTTAACCTCCCCTAGAAGTCATAAAAGTTATTAGATAAAACTGTACAGCAGAGGTTGTTCATTAAAAGAAGTGCTAATATTTAACATTTTGGAGCTCCCAAGCCACAGGCAGTCACTAATTATTTGAATCATCCACATGCTTATTTTCTAAATAGAAATACATTTTTAAAATACTAGTCTATTCAAAAAGTTTTCATGAGTAACTTTGGACAGCTAGGTTTTCTAGAAAGCTAAGAAGTAACCTGTAACCATTTTAAATACAAATCTCTCTAAAATGATTTTTATATTTCTCTGACCTGTATAAAAAGTGTATGAATTCAAGTGCTTTTTCTTGGTGATTTAAAATCCAAAATCAACTATTCAGCAGTTCCAAGATATGTCTATTTTAGAATTTATTTTAATATTTTTAAATAAAATAAACCATAATACCAAAGGGTGTATCATTGATATATGTTTTATATGTTGTATAAATCATGCATATATGCATATGATTATATGCTATTCTATAATTATATGTAATGATTACATATATTTATATAAATAAATATAATTTCTTAAAAATAACATAAATTTCCTGCTCCCAGAAATAAGTATTACCAGCATCGCTGACATTTTCTGGTATGCCCTCTTCTAGATCCCAAACTCCAAAAGGTAAGTGTTAAACATTCTTTCTTTACTATATATAGCTTTAAAAAAAAAGATATATAATCTTAAACAATTACCAGATTTTGCAAATTTACAAATTTTTGTAATAAAATGATTGTGTTCTGTTGGCTTGCTATTTCTTTTGATACTACTTTTTTAAGATTCATCCATGTTGGTAAGTGTATCAATATGTCATTCATTTTTATTGCTACATTTACATGTAAACATGCCACAATTTATCCATTCTATTATTAGACATTTCGGCTATATCCAGAGTTTTACTATTATTAATACTACTACTATGAACATTCCTAAATATGGAATTTCTCTACAACAGTGGTTCTCAAGCTTCAGTGTTCATCAGAATTGCACCTTGAGTGCTTGTTATACTGCAGACTGCTGGCCTCCAGTCCTCAGAGTTTCTGACTAAGTCTAGAATGGGACCCGAGAATTCACATTTCTAACTAATTTCCCCACAATGATGACACTGTTGTTCTGGGGGGTTCACTCTCCAAAAGCTACCGCTTTAGGACACTGACTTAAACATCATGGCCTTAAGGTTCCCTCTTTAAAATTAAAGAATATCTAAAGAATAAAGCTTTTAGAGGTGGGTTATAATAATAAGTAATAGAAATTAAAACTGATAGAGCTTTTAAATACATGAATACACAAACATTCCATTAGCTGTCAAAGCAATAATTTTATCATACATCATACAGCCTCTGGAAAATTCCTCAGTACAAGAATGAGAACGAAAAAGGCAAACAAACCTCAGAAACTCCATGAAAGGATAATGGCAACCCTTAGAAGTCCCATAATCCTATTTTGAGAACCAGTACTCTAGGATAAATATCTAGAAATGAAATTGATAAATCTAAGGTAGAAACTCATTCGACTTGACTAGCTAACAAATTACTTTCCAAAGTGTGTATAGCAACTTGTCAACCAGCAATGTACCATATTTTGCTCTGTATAATAAGCATCTACATTTTTGTATGCATTATACACAGGATTATTATACCCATGGTATATAATCATTACACCCATGTATAATGCACATCCTCACTTTTCCCCTCAAAAATTTGGGCAAAAAAGTACCCATTATACACGGCAAAATACTGTACTTTCATGTTACTGTACCACCCTCAACAACATCTGGTACTATGGGACTTCTCCATTTTTAACTATGTGGTGGGTAAAAAATAGTACATCATTGTGGTTTTAATGTTCATTTTTATGATTATCAATTAGGTTGAGGGAATTTTTTTTTTTCACACACACTTTCTGTCAACCATTTCTATTATTAGGATCTTTTTATTACCTCCTTTTCCCCTTTTCCTTTGAGTACAAGTGCAAATATTTTGAAAAGATGTTGCTAATGTTGTTAGATGGCTTTAGTGTACAATAATGAAACTCAGCTCTCATTATTTGAAACTCATTATCCATTTCTACTCAGATTATTGATACTGTATATTTCTAGGCTGAATGGTATTTTTTTTAAATAGAGAATCTCTATTGGGTCTATATTTGGAATTCCTTATATACTCAATCAAGTCACACTCAACTTGGGTAAAATTTAAATGTATTTTACTAAAAAATATATAACATGGTATCTTCAGATGCCTTAAGTGCTGGGCTATACCCGTTTTTCAAATTGTGATCCACAGAAAGCCTCAAGGCCCCCCCATACCACTGCATTTTCTTTTCCGTTTTTCCTCCTCCTCTCCCCCACCTTCACTCTAATACTTTGACTGTTGTATATACCAGGGAGTTCCAAATCAAGTTCCATTTTAAAAAAGATTACTAATTTTTAAAAATTTTTTGAACAATCACTGCTACAATTTTCCTAGAAAAATCTAAACAACAAATATAAACCACATTAAATTGGTTACAAATTAAGCATAGAAACATTTCATATTACAGAGAATGTTATTTTATATTTGTTTTCTGTGTAACTTCAGAGGCCTTTCACCAGAAGAAATTAGTGTATATTAGATTTAACACTTTGTATTACCACTGACAACCTAATAACTACAAAAACTAGCAGTCTAACAGAGGAGTTTATTATAAATTATGCAAAGTAAGTTAAATCACTCCAATTGTTATGCAGTCTCACCTATCACAGTGTTCCCTGGGAGAAGTGGTGGAAGAGGTGGTGCTGGTGGAGCTCCAGAAGGAGGAGGGACAGAAATGTTTTCTAATAAAATAGTTTATAATTCAGGTCAGAGTGCAAGAAAGAGAACTAAACATTCTGAAACAGTAAGAAAGTACAATGTTTTGGAAAGAAGGAAAAAAAAAGAGAGAGACACCCATATGTAAAGCATGTTCAAATACATTAAGAATTCTACTAGGTAAAGAGGTCATTGAGTTCACACTTGCATTAGCTATGAAATATCCCTGTTTTTGTGAATTGTTTTTTCTCTTTTCAACATCTTTGAGAAGCTAAAAATATTGCCTAACAGTACTGATTATCATTCTTAGTGTAGTACTTTTAACACTACAAAGTCTTCATTTCATTTACTAAAACTCAAGGGACTGATTTAATGTTCTGCCATGGTTCCTTAAGTTTTTATATAATCTAAAAGGTAAAAGAACTTTTCCTTTTTAATCTGGTTTTATATTCATTGTATTTTACTGAAATAAGTATTGAATACCATACATAGATATAGTAAAGTCACAGAACAAACTAACATGAGTTGAGCTACTACCCTACAAGGCAACATCAGAACTCATTAATACATAATTCACATTACAGACACTAATTCTGTAGTTGGAGTATCAATAATATTGTTTTGCTCTTGAAATAATAAACATCATTCTTGATTATGTCCAAGGCAAGTATTTCTAAAGCAAAATAGCCAAAAAGTTACTTAATAAAGCTATTCAATATGCTTCATCTGTAAGGAGGAACAGCTGGTTTAAAAAAAAAAACAAAACCCTCAAAACTGTGTGAATACCAACCTAAAAATGTTTTTAAATTTGGTGTTAGTGTTTATGTTCTAGCAACAATCACATAAATAAGTAATTTGATCTAATAACTAAATTATTTCAGGCTTCCATAATGAAGCTCATAGAAATACTAACACATATTAAAATAGATTGATAAATAATATACCTGGTCCAATAGTGGGTGGTGAAGGTGTAGGCACGGCAATGGGAATGCCAATACTGCTGCTTCCACTGTTTTCTCGACTTCCACTTCCCCCACTACTTCCACTGCAAAGAAAAGAAAAATCATGAAAAAAGCAATTCTAGTGATTTATCCCAAAAAAATTAGAGTAATTCAAAGCCACTAGCTACTCCCTTTAATGATATATATACAGAAAAATTTTTTAAACTGTTAAATGCAAATTTTAATCCTAATACTTGAGGTGGTTCTTGTGTTTCACTCTACACATCTATTGGAAACCAATATAATCTTAACATAATGCTCAGAACTATCAGACGAGATCATCCTACTGAGAAATGAATGACCAATGAAATCTTGTAATGGAATAAGGCAACAGGGTTTATTTAAAACCCACTATGAACAGCCATGAATACGGCAGACATAGCCACGTTGTCAGAATGGGAACCTAAGACATTAAAAAACTGTGATGGATGCCACAAAAGAAAATGCGTAAGATGATATAAAAATTAAATAAAAGGTTAACCAGTTTTAGTCTGGAATTAGTATACAACCTCCACTCATCTCAAAGAGTGGTGATGAAACAGGAAGTTTTCTGGAAAATGAGCAAAACAACAACAAAAACAGCAGTAGTGAAGTTTCAGTATGAGGCATTCTAGAATAGTCATTGCTGTTAAACTTTAATTCCCTACTATTCGAATTACTACAGATTCCCTATCCCTTTAGGTATAAGACCTCACACTACATAGTTGTGTTTAATAAGTAACGTGTGCATGTACATCTATGCAAATGTACATGTGTGCATATGTTGCCTTAGTTTCCATATTATATTTTAAAATCAGTATCATTCGCTTAATAGGCTCAGAAAAAAACTCAACAGGGCAAAGACTTGTATTGCCTAGATAAAATTTTTTCTCCAATGTGACCAGCCTATAATTATATCATCATATGTTAATGAAAGAAAAACAGAAAGTTGTTTTCATTACAAAAATAACTTCAATGTAAAGGCCTCCCTTAAGTCCTTCAAGATGGGTGCTCTTGCTGTGTGCCATCAGATATGTGCCATCACAGATATGAATATTTCTGCACTTATTATCCTCTTCTACAATTACTGGCTTTTTTCTAACTTGGGGATTGGCAAATGAGCACAAGAAAAATCTGACTCATCTGCTTTTTCATGACCTGTAAGCTGAGAACATTTTTTACATTTTTAACTAGTTGAAAAAAATTAAAAGAGGGGTATTTTATGATACATTAAAATTATATGAAAGTCAAATTTCACTACCATATATAAAATATTACTCGATAATTTAGGTATTGTCACTAGCTGCATTCATGCTATGACGAGAAACTGAGTAACTGCAACAGAGACCACATGGCCCACAAACCTTAAAATATTGACAATGTGGTCCTTTATAAAAGTTTGTTGCTCTCTGTTCTAACAAAATGAGCTGCTAAAAATAAGAACTAAATTTTACTGGTGTATCCCTAGTATCTAAAGTAACTCTTAATAACTGGTTGTTGAATATGATTAAACTATAGAGAAAAACCATGGTTTAATGGAATAATTCAGTAACAAACATAAAAAAGAACCATTTGGTCCTCACTGAACTTAACCTGATACAGTGAGTGGAGACATCAATATAAGAATTTATTTACAACAGCAGCAATAACAACAAATGCCAATTACATAGTATCCAAGAGCCTGATACCCTATTTAGTTGAAACCCAAAAAATAATTCTGCTAAGTTCTAACTTTAATATATCAACCCAAAAGTTAAGGTAAGGAGAGGTTCTTACCCAAGTTATTAATGAGAGGTACAATTGAAAAATAAAACAAATTAAGTTATACAATAAATTTGTCTGGCTTTATAAAAGTACCCAAAAATGGGGTGGCTACTACTGGGGGGAGAATGTAGAGGTAATAATTGGGAAAGGGCCCGAGGGGGACTTAGGGGTGATGGTAATGTTTCTTTTTCTGACCTAGGTGATGGTTACATGAGGGTATACAATTTGCATTAATTCATTAAGTTATGTACTCAATTCAGTGCATACTTTTCTAAATATATGTTGTGCTCCAACACCAAGTTTTTAAAAATCTACTGGGTAGCTGATTTCTAGAAGTTTTAAAAAACATTTTATATAAGAACATTCTACAGAATATCAAGTCTCTTAATTAATTCTTCCTCAGATCTAAGCTAGGTCTTCTTTCTTCCAACCTCTTAAAGTTTAAATTATGTTGTATAATTTCTGATATTTAACATCTTATCCAAAAATATAAGAGCAGTTTACTTTCATTTTTTTTAAAAAGACTTTTAAAAAAAATTATTTAGCCTATATCCAAATATACATCTCTACCTCTGACAAAAGGAAGAAACAGGAGCCATCTGCTTATAGTATCAATATATATATTTAAAAATCTAAAAGCCAGAAGTTTTAACAGAAACATATACAATATTATTTCCTCAACTTTTACATTCTGTGTTAACATTATAGTACTTTACTCAACAATGGTATAGAGTTTGGGTCCAATTAATAACCCTCAGACTCAAATGTTCAAAAGCTCAACCTGAATGGTTACCTGTGTGTCCTTGGTCTCTGATTTAAAGAAGCTGTCCTGCCTGGGCTATGCTGACTTCCAAGCCTAGCAGGACTCGTCATGTAGTCATTAGGAACTGTTGGAGGCTTAACGGGTTCCAGGGTTTTGTAAGGAGTATTCCGTCTAAAGAAGCATTGGAGAAAGGAATAATGAAAAAGAAAGATGAATTGGTGTTGCTTACCGCCCCCCAAAAAATTTGTGATTGTCCCTTTGAAACCAACTACAACACAAGTTTTTTTAAAAAATTTTAATAATAAAGTTTGTTTAAACAATTCTTAAATGGAGTACATGAATTTTGTTACTTTATGCAAAAACTAAAAATGTTACCTTTTCTGAGGAACAGCATAGAAAAGGTAATTTAAAAGTTCTAACCCTATTTCTGCCCTGGCCGATGTGGTTCAGTAGATTAAGCGCCAGCCCGTGAACCAAAAGACTGCTGGTTCGATTCCTGGTCAGGGCACATGCCTAACTTGCAGGCCAGGGTCCCCCACCCCTCAGTTGGGGACGTGCAAGAGGCAACAGAGCGATGTTTCTCTCACACATCGATGTTTCTCTCCCACTCTTTCTCCCTCCGTTCCCCTCTCTCTGAAAATAAATAAAATCTTTTTTAAAATTAAAAAATAAAAAGCTCTAACCCTATTTCTAAAAGTAATAGTTATAATTCTTGAAATGCTCAACAGTATCAAACTTTGAAATATACATTATTCCCAGTTCGGTCACCCACAAACCACTGTCCTTACACATTAGGGAAGCTAAATATGTCCTCTGCAATTTACTGCTACCTCAATATGGAAATATATGGACAATGGGCAAGTACAATACATGTGGATCCTAGATGTAATGCCATTTAATATCCCGAATGATTTTAAATTAACCTTTCTATTTAATAACTTCGTATGTGTTTTCAGGGGAAGGGCTTCATAGAATGAAAAAAAAAAACTAAGTCTATAAAGAAAAAGTTTACTATTGATCCCTATTACTATAAAATAATCACTCCCCAGACCTCCACTAGAAAGAGCTCTAATATATTATTTCCTATGTTAAGGTGAACAGTCTTTCAGAAATGGCTTACCAATTATTCAATATTTTTATTGCATTGAGAACTGAGAAGGAAGAAGCCAACTGTTATCTTTTTTGCTTCTCCAACTGGCCTTCCCACAAAGCTACTCAAGTATGAAGGCCCCTAAGATTACAAGCACAAGCACAGTTAGAAGTATTCCAGGTAAAGAGCCCCTAAGTCTTAGATGAAAATAGAAGAAAAAGAAAAGCTGCAGGTTACCAAGCCGAACTACACAAAATAGACCACTTATTCAAAGTTCTGCAATATAAATATTGTAAATACATGTGAAAGCACCATATGGAATACATTGGTCACTTCAGTTGAAATAAGTCAAATTTGTATTTAAAAAAGAAAGAATTAAAAGATAAATAAATAATGCTCATTTCTGTATATACAAAAGAATATCTATTATAGACTCCTACAGAGAATACTGTAAAACAAGTAGATTCATTTCAGATTCTCTTAAAAAAAAATAAGCAGCAGCAAAATTAATTGTAAAAGGTAATGAATGTCACACTGAGAGGGTCTTATAGCAAGAATCCATACATTTACCTAATCACAAAATCATCTCTTCTTTAGCATATGAATTTTCTTGTAAAATGTAGTTGAATTCTTACCCCAATGTTCCCCGGCCTGACATGGGAGGACTTGGTGGTTTCTGAGTAGGAGGATTTGTTCTTGACAGTGTGCCAGTTCGTGCAGGCTGATTATTTCCATGCTAAAATGCATTAAAAAAAAAAAGAGCTTTTATTTTTATATCAAAGTGTTCTCTTCGTGTTTTGACACCATGTATTATTGTTGTTGTTGTTGTTTTTTAATATCAGGATGTGAAGTAAGGATTCCCAGACAATTTTAACAACAGACTTTGGTTCTACATTTTATAAGTAAAGAAACCTCTTGCACTTGGCTTTTCTAATTCACTCTAATTTATGGCAAAATACAGGTGAGATTATTGGATTTTATATATTATTGTTAAACATGTTTACTGAGATCAAATGTATCTGCATTCAAATACTAAGTTTCCCAAAATTTTTGAAATGTGTGCATGAATTTAACTACAGATCTCAATGTCAACTTGCTAAAATATTCATCTGAAAAATCATCTTTATCTTAGTAACAAAGTCATATGTGATGTCTGGGAAACCTCCTAACTGTAAGTCTATAAAAGCAAGGCAACTATCAAAAAATAAGCGAAGCAATAAATGTTAGCAAAATTAATGTTCCTATATAAATGCAGATGTCAATATATCTTTGATATATTAACACATCCAAGCTAAATGTAGCTGATTTGTACTGAGTTTGAGTATATTTAATCTACATAAATCCTATGGGGAAAAAGCAGACAGACACAGGAAGAGTTTCAAATTTTAGTGGCTCTGCAGCCTCTATCAATATAGGGTAATACTGTGGATCAAGTGATAAGTAATATCTCTTACCTTGGCTTTTAGCCACTTTACGTAGGCAAAAAAAGGGGGGAAAAAGTAGAAATTAATTCTAAATAAGTTATGTCTAATAGGACAGGTTTATATTTACAGTTATTCAATTCAGGTTAATAAGCTTTTACTTAGCCATTATTTCAAGTATTTTGTAAAGAAAATATCCATAGTCAGCTAGTTAATATTCATGTGTATCATATTTTTTAAAACAATATATTCATAAGGAAACAACTGTTTATTCATGCCAATCTCATGCAGGCCCAATAATTTCTTAATTCTGTATTTTCCTACGGAACTAATCCAACTGAATCAACAGAAGATAAACTTTGATTTAAAAACAAATACCGATAAAGATTTTCCTTCAAATTAGGAATTAGAATACGTAGAGTAGAAATAAGCAAGCAAAATCCAGTTTGAGTCTACACTATGTTTAGTAACACATCATCATGCAATTAAGGAAGTACTTCTTTAGTGACTCTTTGAACAGTGAGAGAAAGTGATAGAAGACAAAAACTTGATTAAAGGGTGGAAATTACCCCAGAAACACCAGAAAAGATTTTTCCTAAAAATTGTTAAGTGTGGTCTTCGAAGGTGGTAGTAGAGTAGGTGGATCTTACACTCACCTCCTCCCAGGACCGAGCCAGAAATACAACTAAATTAAAAAACTATCACCAGAATAACCATACAAGACTAGCTAAAGAGGAGTCTTATAACCAAGGATTTACAGAAGAAGCCACCTAGACATTGCATCTGCACTGCAGCTTGTACACCATGGTTGGGGTTGAGCCTCACAGTCAGCTAGCCTGAGAATCAACCCCACCCACAAATGGACAAGAGCAATCAAGGTTCAATTAAACAGGAGGTCCCAAATAACCCACAAATGGGACATTCCTACATCACCCAGCTTAGGAGATCAAGGAGACTGAACCATCAAGTCACACAGGGTACTTACTACATAAGACCACCCCACAAAGACTGGGGAGTCATAGCAGGTCTATGTAATGCATAAAAACAAACAAAAAGAGGCAGCCAAAATCAGAAGACAAAGAAACAGGCCTTAAATGAAAGAACAGAAGAAATCTCCAAGAAAAGAGCTAAATGAAATGGAAGCAAACAATTTATCAGATAGGGATTTCAAAGTAATGGTTTATAAGGATGCTTCAGAAACTTAGAACTACAGCAGCATGAAAAGCGACTTAGAAACCATGTTAGAAAAAAAAACTAGTGGGAAATGAAGAATACCATATCTAACATCAAGAATACACTGGAAGGTAAATGATAATAGAAAAAATACAATTAAATAAAAAGAATACACCAGGAGGAATAAAGAGTACGGTAGACAAAGCAGAGGATCAAATCAGTGACTTAGAAGACAAAGTAGAAAAAAAAATCACCCAATCAGAGCACACCAAAAAAAAATTTTAATAAGGAAAGTTTAAGGGATTTTGGAACATAAAGTGTATCAACATCAACATCATAGGGGTACCAAAAGGAAAAGAGAGAGAAAGATATTGAGAACCTAACTGAAGAAATAATGACTGAAAACTTCCCTAACCTGATGAAGAAAGACATCACATACGACCAAGAAGCATAGATAGTCCAAAACAAGATTAACTCACAGAGGCCCACACAAAGACACATCATAATAAAAATGGCAAAAATTAAATACAAAGAATCTTAAAAGCAGCTCTCTACAAGAGAGCTCCCATTGGACTGTCAGCTGATTTCTCAACAGAGACATTTCAGGCCAGAAGAGATTGGCATGAAATATTCAAAGTGATAAGGACCTACAACTTTGTAGGTCCTACAAAGTGCTAGGACCTACAACCAAGACTACTTTATCCAGGAAGGCTATTACTTAAAATTGAAAAAGAAATAAAGAGCTTCCCAGATAAGAAAAAGCTAAATGAGTCTGTTAGAATAAACAAGTTTTAAAAGAAATGTTAAAATGACTGCTTTAAGTAGAAGAAAACAACAAAACATTAAAAAAAACAAAAAAGGAACAGAGTTAAAAGAATAAAATGGCAGTAAGTACATACCTATCATTAATCACTTTAAAGGTAAATGGCTAGAATGTTTCTATCAAAAGACATAGGTAGGTGGCTCTGGCTGGTGTTGCTATTGGTTGGAGGGTTGTCCCATAAACCAAAAGGTCATGGGCTCGATTCCAGGTCAGGACACATGCCTAGGTTGCAGGCTCGGAACCCAGTTGGGACATATATGACAGTCAACTGATATGTTTCTCTCTCACATCGTTGTTTATGCCTTACATTGATGTTTCTCTTCCTCTCTGTCTCCCTCCTATCCCTTCCCTCTAAAATCAATAGCATGTCTTTGGGTGAAAATTAAACAAACAAACAACAAAAAAAAGACATATGATAGCTGAATGGAAAAGAAAGCAAGACCCACATACATGCTGTCTACAAGAGACCAACCTCAGAAATAAAGATACACACAAAGAGTAAAGAGATGGAAAAAGATAATCCAGGAAAATGAAAATTAAAAAAAAAAAAAACAACCGGGGTACAAACACTTGTACCTGACAAAACAGACTTCAAAACAAAAGTTATAGTAAAGACAAAAAGGACAGTACATAATGATACCATTATGTACATAATGATAAACAGACAATCCAGCAAGGGGATATAACTCTGGTAAACATTTATGCAGCCTACATAGCAGTACCTAAAAATGTAAAGCAAATCTTGATGGCATAAACGGAAAGACTAACAATAACACACTCATAGTAGGGGATTTTAACACCCCATTGACATCAATGGATAGATCTACCAGGCAGAATATCAACAAGAAAAAGGTGGCCTTAAATGACAAACTAGATCACATGGATTTAATTGATATCTTTTGAGAAATTCACCCCAAGGCAGCAGACCATACATCTTTTCAAGTGCTCATAGATCATGTTATAGGACACACCACATGTTAGAACACAAAGTAAGTCTCAATAAATTTAAGAAGACTAAAATTGTATCAAACCATCTTCTCTGACCATAATGGGATGAAATTAGGAATCAACTACAGGAAAAAAACGTAAAAAGACATAAAGTCATAGAGGCCGAATAACAGGTTACTAAACAGTGGAGGGGATTAACAATGAGATAAAGGAAGAAATCAAGAGTTACCTTGAAACAAATGATAATGAGACACAATACCGCAAAATCTATGGAATACAGCAAAAGAAGCCCTAATGAGGGAGGATAGTACGCTAAGTAAATTGCTGGGTGAGTGGAATGGGGAAACTGAAACATGAAAATCAAACATATTCTCAAAATCACCTGGACTCATACACTAAGGCTGGCCTGAGGCAGATCTGCTCCAGCCACTGTCTATCCAGTGACAGTAAGAGGGAAATTCGTAGCATTACAGGCCTACCTCAAGAAAGAAGAAAAATTTCAAATGAACAATCTAAATTTACACTTAAAGGAACTGGTTTTAAAAAAAAGCCCAAAGTGAGTTGAAAGAAGGAAATAATAAAGATCAGAGGAGAAATAAACGAAATAAAGTCAAAAAAAGACAATATTAAAAAAAAAATGAAACCAAAAGCTCGCTCTTTGAAAAGATAAACAAGAGTAATAAACATTTAACCAGACTCATGAAGAAAAAAAAAGGGAAAACACCCAAATAAATAAAAGATAAGTAACAACTGACACCAAAGAAACATAAAGAACTGTAAGAGAATATTATGAGTAAGTATATGCCAACAAATTAGACTATCTGGAAAAAATAGATAAATTCCTAGAAACATACAATCTCCCAAAACTGAATCAGAAGAATCAAAGAATCTGAATAGATTATAACTAGTATAATTGAAGCAATAATCAAAAAACTCCCACCAAATAAAAGTTCTGAATTACACTGCTTCACAGGTGAATTTTACCCAACATTCAGAGAACTAACACCTCTCCTGCTCAAACAATTCCAAAATTTTCAATTGAAGGACAACTCCCAAACTCATTTGATGAGGTCAACATTATCCTAATTCCAAAACCAAATAAAGACATGACAAAAAGATAAAATCATAGGCCAACATCCTGATGAACTTAGGTGCTAAAATCCTCAAATGTTAGCAAACCAGGTCCAGCAATACACTAAAAAGATCATATACCATAATCAAGTGGGATTTATTCTGGGGATGCACTGTTGGTACAATATCCACAAATTAATAAACATGACCCATCACACAAAAGGAAAAATAAAAATCACATGATCATATCAACAGATGATGAAAAAGCATTTGATAAAATCCAGCACCCATTTATGACAAAAACTCTCAACAAAGTGGGAATAGAGGGAACATACCTCAACATAATAAAGGCCATATATGACAAACCCAGAGCCAACATCATACTCAATGGGCAAAATTTAAAATTGTTTCCCTTAAGATCAAGAACAAGACAGGAATGTCCACTTTTACCACTCCTGTTCAACTTAGAACTGAAAGTTCTAGCCACAGTAATCATACAAGAAGAAGAAATTAAAAGCATACGAACTGGAAGGGAGAAAGTAAAACGGTCATCATTTGCAGATGAAATGATACTGTACATAAAAAAAAAACCCTGAAGACTCCACCAAAAAAACTGCTAGACCTAATAAATGAATTTGACAAAGCAGAAAGATGCAAAATCAGTACTCAGGAAACAGTGGCATTTTCACATACCAATAATGAACTATCAGAAAAGAGGCTAAGTAAACAATCCTATATACTATTGCAACAAAAAAAAATAAGGTGCTTAGGAATAGATTAACCAAAGAGGTAAAAGACTTGTACTCAGAAAACTACAGAAATTGAAGAATTGAGGAAGATACAAACAAGTGGAAGCATATACTGTGTTCATGAATTGGACAAACTAACATCATAAAAGTATCTACACTATCCAAGGAAATCTATAGATTCAATGCAATCCCTATTAAAATAGCAATAACATATTTCACAGATGTAGAACAAATATTCCAAAAATGTATATGGAACCAAATAAGACCCCAAATAGCCTCAGCAA